TACAACAGAAGGATAAGTTATCGAGCAAATTTTTAATATTCAGGAACTTCTCATTCAGTGCAACTCTAAGTTTCTTTTGGACTACAATGTATCACACGCAGTTCATTGATACTAGCAAACGGAAAAGGACGTGTCCGTGAATTATTTAGTACATCTACCCCTCAGTGTTCGACATGTGTATCACATCTAGCATTTCACCGTCCATTCTGTGAGTGAATACTAACCAGAAGAGAGAAATCGAGGTTGAGAACTTCACTGGTAGCTCTAACTTTCACTTTATTTTCTAATATCGTCCAATCAGTCAAGATGCAATGCAGTAGCATACTCACCGAAGAAATATAAAGATAACTCAAATTGATCGAATTAAATGGAACTTTGTGTGGAGGACTGAAGCATTAGATAAACGAACAAAAGGCTCCGAAGACACATCTCACTAATGTCGAATACTATAAGAGAATAGCTATCTTCGTAATTCTTCATCTATTAGTTACACTAAAGGTAACTGAAAAATCACCATCGTTTACGACGTTTAAGCCTCACCACCAAATATCTTCCTTGTCCCTCCAACAGCGTCTAGGTCTTCGAAGACGAGTTTGCATTTAGAAGGGGGAAACACGGACTAAAATTGAGACAGACTGATCACACTACTTACTGTGATGATTCCACAACAGTGGATCCTCACATTTTTATACTAACACCCAAAAAATATGAAACTCATGTCTGGGAATGATGCCAATGTCACTGCAGTCCAACTTTCAAAAGTACTACTTCCATCTACAACAATGCCTAAGAATTTGATGAGCTATGTAGTTTATATTTCGTAAGTGATTAAGCTTGCCAGTAAGAGTTCGTCTTTTAACATACGTCAGTAGCAGATGAAGGCAAGGATATCGACACGTAACAAATATTCTATAATTGCACTCACAAGTGCTTAGATCTACTTCATAATGCTTTCTACATGCTCCCTAACTTCACTGTTTTGTCGCAGCATACGCATTACCTGCTTTCGAGTACAACCTGAAATATATTTCTATACACTTACCAGTGGAGTTTAGCTTTCATAGTTTTGACATCAGCAGCGGTAACCTGCTTACTAGTTCTCTCCTTAATACTTTCTATAACTTCATCTGTTGATTGAGTGCAATATTACTGGCTTCAAGTTTTGCTTTTCTTTGGATGACAGTCTTCTACTCCACGGATCACAAACCATCCATGAACTACTACAAGGATGGTAGTGAGACATATTGTAAGATTCTATGACGTACAGACAACACGCATTAATTATTAAAAAAAGTTATTCCTTGGGAAAAAAACAACTGAAGGAAGTACAACAAATATTTAAGACTTGTCGTTGAGTTGACATTTCTCCTTCTTTATTTAACAGCGACTCACAAAAACTCCGTGTATCTATAACATTTAACGTAATCTTATCTTTCTTACGTTGTTTTGTGGACCTTATCAATAAATTATATAAAGGTGTTGACGTTTACTACAGCAGTTGGGATCACAGATCAAGTTACGAAGCAATAACAGAACTAAAGTGTACACTACAAAACACAAAATGCCAAATTGACGTTCTTAGCAGTTATTTTGTGCTTTTACCGCCTCTACAAAGGCCGTTGAAAGGAAACGGAGGGCATTTTCGAAGGAGCCTACCTTTTTTCCCATGCCCTGCTTGTTTCAGAACTAATTTTATCTCATAACCAACCTATTCTCTCGAACTTCTCAAATATCACTGTCACAGTTTCAGCTCCATCATATACGAAACCTACTTTTGATAGGTCGAACACATCTCACAAAAAGCATTTGCTTTATGGATTTTGGTCGACCAATTTCGAATGCTGGACAATAATTTGGAGAGAGTCCACTAAATACGAAGCTAATGTTGCTTCAGAGAAAGTGCGACTTTCACCAACCTGGAGACAGAAACCTTCAAAAGTCGCCATTGAGAACCAACTAAAAGAGTAACAGTGGCAATAGAAATGGTTTACATTTTTTTAGTATTAAACGTGAGAATTAGTATGAAATTTCCTAATACGGATAAATCGGAACTAAGTCTTATCGATTCAATAATTCGTTGAATGTAAACAAATCTCCAGGTAAGAAGAATCTACACCACAACAATCAGGATGGGTTAACTCTAGAAAGCGTTAACATATGATGTACTGGCAGAGGGCTATTCTGCCTGAAGATTACATTGCAGCCGTCAGACAACGCAACTACTTAGGAAAACGTGATAGCACGATTGCACTTTAAATTCTTCACACTTCTAAACATTGTATAGACTGGCACAAACCCCCCCCCCCCACCAAATAAGTGAACAGATGAAATGAAAGCCCAAGGCATAACCATGTACGTATGCACGAACCAATATCCATCGACAGTAAGACTGGAAAATCGGTGGGACAAGTAGAAATAAGCAAGTAAAGAAATGGAAAAGATCGTTAACATTACTATTATCTTCGCAATAAATTTATATCACTATCCAGAACCAACCTAATGCACCATGAATAAACCGCACAAAATCTAGGTTAACTACCCGAAATGAATTAAAATGTAAATTATATATAAATCACACAGAGGAAGATGGAAAAATGATTAGTAAACTATTTGAAGTTTGTGTGTCACGCAAACAATAATGAATTTAAAAATTATTATTCACTTCAAGGCATGATTTTATTTGTCAGAATCCAGTATCTATAAATAAAGTTTCCAAGACAAAGTAGTTTAAATAATATTCAAATTTAAATCTTCAGTAGTAACTGAGGTGGTGAACAATAAATCAAAATTCATTTAATTTCACTCTCCTGTTTAACAATCTAAATGTTGATATCAACACGACTGATTTGTTGCTTTAGTTTTCTAAAATGGAACAACCAAATTCCATACATAAAAACTAGACAAAACATTATATAAGATTATTTGACAAAACTTGGTTTGATCAATAAGTGCTTACTTACTTACGCCTGTTACCCCTCGTGGAGGAGTATAGGCCACTCACCAGCACTCTCCATTCAACTCTGCCCTGAGCAATCCTTTCCAGTCGCTATTCATTCTTTTCAAGTCTGCTTCCAATTGTCGGCGTGATGTGTTCTTTGGTCTTCCTCTTTTCCGTTTACCTTCAGCATTCCAAGTTAGCCATTGCTTCGTAATGCAGTTTGGTGATTTCCTCAAAGTGTGTTCTATCCACTTCCAACGTCTTTTCCTAATCTCCTCTCCAGATGGAAGCTGCTTTGTCTTCTCTCACAGTAAAATGTTGCTCATAGTATCCGGTCAACGGACATTGAGTATCTTGCGTAGACAACTGTTTATAAATAATTCTATCTTTTTGATGATGGTTGTAGTTCTTCAAGTTTCAGCTCTATACAGTAGAACTGTTTTGACGTTCGTATTGAAGATTCTCACTTTGATGTTGGTTGACAGTTGTTTTGAGTTCCATTTGTTATTGAACTGTACGAATGTGGTCCTTGACTTTCCAATCGTCACCTTTACGTCTGTATTGGACCTTCCTTGTTCATCGATGATGCGTGAAGGATTCCACATATTCCTGAGCTTCTCCGTTGAGTGTGATTGTGTTTGTGTTCTTATTGTTGTATTTGTGAATCGTGCTTTTCCCTTTGTGTACGTTGAGGCCTACTGATGCAGGGGTTCCTTGTACACTGTTTGTCTTCATCTGCAGTTGTTCGTGTGTATGGGGCTGAGGGTCCAGGTCCAAATCTAATTGATTCCGAGCTGTTCATTGTAATACGTGTTTTCTCTCAGATGTAGAGGTCTTCAAAATGCAGTTGACCACTGAACGAAAGAGTATGAGGGAGAATAGGCAGCTTTGTCTGACTCCGGTCTTTACTTTAAATGCGTCTGTCAGTTAACCTTTATGCACGACTTTGCAGTGTAGTCCGTCGTATGAATTCCGCATGACATTGACGATGTTCTCAGGTACACCATAGTGCGGAAGAAGTTTCCATCGTCATCTCCTATCCACGTTGTCAAATGCTTTCTCATAATCAGGGATGTTGATGTATGATGACGAATTTTACTCAATTGATTGTTCAACGATGATCCGTAGTGTGGCGATGTGGTCTGTGAACGACCGATCCTTACGGAATCCAGCCTGTTGATCTCCGAGTTGGACGTCTAATGTATCTTTCATCCGGTTCAGCAACACTGTTGAAAACGTTTCCTGGTACCGATAGTAGTGTGATTCCTTTATAGTTCTCACATTTACTCAGATCTCCTTTCTTTGATATCATAATGAGGTGTCCTTTTTTCCAGTCTGTCGGCACTTTTTCTTCCTCCAAACTCTTCCTGAATAGAGTGTGAAGCATGCTTGCAGTTACTTCCATGTCTGACTTTAGTGTTTCAGTTGGTATATTGTCAGGTCCTGCTGCTCTTCCACTCTTGATTTGCATTGTTCGGACGTTCCATGTACCTATAAAAATTGTTGCTTTGGTTGTTAGAAGAACCATCGGCATCGTGACCTCCGAAGAATCTAGGCTTTCATTATGAGACTTCATAATTCTTCCTTTAACTCTCAGGGAACAGTTTAAGTGGTTTAATTTGTTTAATCTGGTTAGCTTTTTTAGCAAGATTTTTTTCTATGGGATGAGTTTGCCGACCCCACACCTAACCCTCCTCCTTTACTCGGGCTTGGGACCGGTAGTAGCCTTAGAAGTGCTACAGGTGGAGTTTGCCTCGTGAATAGAGTATATAAAAAACTGTGATATATGTAAGATGTAATAATCGAAAAACCAAATCATTTTTTGGAAATAATCAATAAAATTAACGAAAACCAAAATAAGTACTATCAATGGCGTGAAGCAAATTTATACATCTTACGCTATGTGCATTCAGCTGTTAGTGTCTACTGCAGGAATAAGTGAAAATGCGAGTTCGCATCACACATCCTCATACTATATTTTCAATATCATAATAAACTACATTAAAATATTTTCATAAATGACTAGTAGTCTGTTTTTAGTCACCGTGAACTTTGAATTTTCCTTTTTTTCTTCATGAACATGTAAAGCAAGAGTAAGGAATATTTCTTCCTAATTTTATAGGGATGTAAAAAGGAATCTAATTTCACGTTACACGAGTAATACAAGGATGGCAAATAAATCCGCTATTTCCTTTTGACAACGAGCATATATGTGAAACCAGGCTATTGAAAGCGATATAGGAACAGTTACTTCTACTTGATTAAGGATATCTTCAAAGTGTCGATTATCTATGATGAGTCAAGTAGAAGGATATCCTTATATTTTATAAAGATAACAAGGCAAAAACAATGTCATCAGTTGATGAAGTTTTGGATTTATATCACCTGACTGCGCACGAAAAAGGTTTAGAGCATATTCAAACAATACTAGCTACAGTTCACTATTCGGCTGAAATAAAACTAAAGTTGACCAGGAAACATAATTAATTCAAAAAGTTACTGAAACACACAGCTCTACTCTAAAATTAGTGAGACAACTAGAAACCGACGCATGGTAACTAGATGCACAAAGGTCAATTTTTTGACAATAATACGTATACTTATTTATTTGAACACATAAATATTGGTACAAGAGGGCACCAAATACATATGCGCCACACAAAACGATGAGAATTTGAAGAGAAGAAGGAAAAAAATGAAAGGCAAGGAGCATTAAAAAAAGAACAACGAACAGATTAGTGTAAGGTAGTGTAATAATAACAATGGGGGAAACAGAAACCTACAACCAGGAGAGATCTTGATATATCGGAGTTATAGTGCTTCACTTTACGGTGAATAGAGATCCAAATCAGTCTCACGTAAGGATGTTAATATTGTTTTTGATATTTTGAGTGTACAACTGTCTGCAAAAAGGAAATATATTGAAATCTGGATAAATAGAATAACTATCAGACTTTAGATTGACACGCAGTCAGATATTCCTCTGATTTTTCGTGATACTTTGCGTACACTAGGGTCCTCACATGTCACACGGAGACAGAAATGCGTTCGGTGATTTAATAAAACCGGCCGGTGGAATTGAATATGATGTCTTATTCAGGTCTAAAAGTTCCTGAGGTAAATGTTGCCCCAAAAATCGTCATGACTTCGATTTTCTTGGGATTGATTGGATATAGCATCTCTCATTATGGAATATGCTACTAAATTTCATTTGTTCATGGGTTTCACTCTCAACTCAGAAATTCACTAGTAGCGAAATAAACTCTCTTATTAAACGTATTAAGTCGAAATATAGTTCAATATTCAGTGAAGTGGGAGTGTTGAACGGTGAAGAAAGCAGTTTTATGTCTGCAATTGAACATTTAACCTGTCTTCAAACTTAAAAGACCAGTTCCATATGCATCAGTATCAGTACCAACAATCGCCCTTCAGTGTGAAGGCAATGATATTCCAAATTATTGGTATTACGACAGGTGCAATACCAGGAGTTTCTGCCTACTGGAATGACATCATTATTACTAGAGCTATTCAGGAGGAACTGACCGGACTTCCAAGATAAGTGAAGTTGTCAACGCGTTCGACTACTTCACTTCCTATCCTTAGTTCAGGTGTTGACGCAGGCTAGTCCTGAAGCAACAACTTGCATTTAGAGGGGAAGAAGCGCATTTCAAACATTCTGGCATTATTGCTTAGTGCTACCAAAAGACTCTGCATTTTATCAGCGTCTTCACCAAACAGGACTATGTCATCTGTGTATTCTAAGTCGATAAGTGGACTTCCTGATAAGAGATCGATTCCTGAGAATTCAGTCGACTGGGACGTTACTTCCAGCAGAAAGTCTATGATGAAACTAAACAGAAATGGAGATAGTAGATAGCCGTGTCTGAAACCACTTGAGGTTGCAAAATCAGATGACAGTTCGCCATAAGCTCTGACTCCATTGGTAGTGTTCAAGTAACGAGCCTCCACAAGGTTTATGTATTTCTGAGGTACACCTTTCAATGACAGACACTACCACAGAACCTCTCGGTCTATAGAGTAAAATACTGCTTTTAAGTCAAGGAAGACCACCATTGTCGGACGCCGATAAGTATGCCTATGTTCTAGAACCTGACGAATGGTGAATATGTGGTCGATGCAGCCACGACCAGGTCTGAAGACAGCCTGGTTTTCTCGTATTCACAGTTTACGAGTCTTTGTTAGGCATCCGATAATTATCGAGGCTAGTATTTTAGTTAAACTAATCCCTCTTTGGTTATCACATGATGATTTTGACCCCTTCTTATACATTGGGACATTCAGTGATTGTGGCCAGACAGATGAGATCACACCCAACTCCCAGATTTTAGCTAAAATATTAGTCAACCTAATCGCTAAAATTGAACCACCATCCTTAAAGACCTCTGGAGCCAATCCATCTGGACCAGCTGCCCTTCCTCGTTTCAGATTAACTATAGCCTTTTAAACTTCTGCTGGAGTTGAGGGACCTACTTCAATGTTCCATTCAGGCTGTCTGGGAATGATGGGTAGTTGTAGAGTAGCTGAAGGTCAACTGAACTGCTCCTTAAAATGTTTCACCCACCGCTCTAAACGCCTAAGCCGACAGCAGATAAGTGCGTCATCTTTTCCTGCGATTGTCTCACACTTGACTTGTTAATTTCAGTTTATTTTATTAGTCTGAAAAGATGTCTTGTGTTACCTACTGCCGTTGCCTTTTCCATCTCTTTCGCCAACCAACACTGAATCCAGTGATATTGAACGAATTATCACCAATAGAAAATATGTTTAGGAGAAAATTACAAATTGTGCCACAAGATCTAATACTAAGATCGAAGGAAATGGAAATAATGAAACCGCAGTTCAGTGAACAACGCTGTGTCAAAACCAGAAATTTTCATTCAGGTGAAGCACATTGGGTGCGGGATTTCCGCAATTCCAGATCACGATATGTAAGTGAAACATTTATTTATGAAGTGAAAGCGGAAGAAATAATATGGACGAGACACAGTAATCATATAAAAAGACGAGATTGTAAAAACATCGTAGCTACTCAAGATTTGGAAAACTTGCCAAAGATATACTAATGGAATATCAAGCTCGCAAAATAAAAACCTATCAGGGACCAGGAACACGACCACGCGACTAGTTGAGATCCCAGTAAGTAAGAAGAAAAACAACAATCCATGAATGGACCCCCTACGGAAAACTTACTCTTATGTACCCACTCAAAAAGAACAGAAGGTGATATGACAGAATAAGTAGGCAAAATTACATCCTTTTTCTCATTGTGGCTTTTGTTCTACATTACTTCCGTTAATTCATTGTAACGATTATTTAGTGTAGTGTTTGTTTTGTTTCCCAGTGGGATATTTTATTCTGTATAACATTAATTTAATTGAGTTTGATGCGTTTATTAAAGGTACAATATTCTTGTATTACATTAACATGGACTATGCTTAGTATAACATGCAGCATGTGATTTAATTGTAACTCTCGGTATATTTTATGTGTGATTTTACCGTAATTAATAATCGGAATGGGTGTACAATCAATATATATTGTGAGTGTATTACTGAATGGGGTCGTCGTCGTGTTTTTGGGGTTAATAAATGTTCATTTTTACCAGTCTTGCTCTTCATACTTCGCGTCGTCGGGATTGAAGTAATTTATTGCTTTCCCAAGTATAATTAATAAGTGACGTGGATATAAGAATACGAAAACTCATTGTTTTATAAAAAAATTTAGTTAATCTGGTTTATTTATTTGTGTTTACGAGAATTTTCTGGAATACCGATACAGTATAGTGAACAGCTATGGCGGTAAACACTTGGTTTTGTATTGTCATTATGATTATTAATGGCTTTATTCAGTATTAGATTTTGGTACAATATAGAATATAGGATCACGCCTAGTATATGCAGAATTGATAACTGTCTATGCAGGTGTCAAAAGCATGAAACAATGGCTTAAATGGGAATTCCATGTAGATTAATTTGATGTATTCAGAAAGATATATCAAGTGTACATTATTAATGAAAAAATGCAATAAATTTGAACAACACGTATAAGCCGACAACGGTTTTCAATTAAAGCTTCATTTTAATATACGGCCTAAAGTATAGCTTCGTTGTTTTACAACAGCAAATGACTTCATCTTCTATAAATAGTAGGAGCTATAGAGAATTAAACCTTCAACCCTAGTTTATGTGTTCTTAAGAAATTTAAAAGCCCCTGCTTCTTTCATAGTCAAGTATGAAATTTTTTAAAAAAAAGATTTTACTTATTCTTTACATCCTTGATTTTTATTCACCGCCTTTACTACATATTTTCCAGTATCATAATCATTTTTAACGATTGTTATTCTTATGTCCATGTTCTAATGTTTTGAATTATTTTCTATATTCAAGCATTGATTCAAGTTGTTATCATTTTTATCACTACTAGTATACCTGTCATCGTATTATCAGTTTGTAAGTTTTACCCGTTACGTACAGTTATACAATCTCTTTCAATGTGATCATTGACTGGTTTAATATTTTTTGATATATGCATATGTTATCAAATATTAAAGTCTGATGAAGGTCTAACTGAACATAATTTTATACAGTCATATATGTTGTTCTAAATTACATTACGAAAATTTTAAATAAGTTAGAATCACATAAGGATCCAACCGCCACAAATTGGCAAAACGATCTTTGTCAATCAATTTATATCAGCCGATATTTTTCTGAGTACCGACAATTGTCTGAACAATGAAAGAGGATTCAAAAAGATTTCATAATAAACTAACCATTTAAATGTTTCTTCTAAAGTTTTAAAACTACTGAAAAATTGTTTATGTCAATAAATCGAATAATAAATTATTTTTATTTAAGTGATAATTATTTCAGAATTTTTAACTTAGATACCGTTATGACATGTGGTCGACGGTTATGACTGCGTCACCGATTGTTATATCTGGTCGTCGCTAGTTGTTATGTCGGAATCGCTTATTACTTTACTTGTAAAACGAGAAACTACCGCTATTCCCACGACGCGAAAGTAAAAACACAAATACTGATACAAGTGAAGATTTATCAATCCCAGAACACGAAGATGACTTTAATCGAAAATACACTCATTTATATATTGATTGTATACACATTTTGACTAATAATTAGGTAGAAATCGTATATACGAAAAATACTTGAAGTTATAACAAAACATGCTGAATATTGTACTGAGCATAGTCCATGTTAATGTAATACATGAATATCGTTTCTTGGACAAAAAAAATCAGAATGAGTAAAGGACTGTAATTTTGCTTTTTAATCCCAGATCCTAACCAAACTATAGCACTACGAAAGTAAATAAATTAAATCATGTTAAACAAACAGCTTACTTATTAGGTTTCGATTCCATCATACGAGTATAGAAAAGAATCTGAAATATTAAATTAGAGAAAATATGAGTACAACAAATAATACAATAATTAGTTAATTTATAATGTTTCACAATAATTTTATTGATTGACCATTAGATTGGTTGTACTATCAGGAGTAAATGAGAAATACATGGAATCATAGTTTATACAATTAGCACCCTTGATAAACTTTTATAAAGCGACAAAAACAAATAATTTGGGATGAAATGAAATAACTTCATCTAGCAATATTCGTTCTAATTTTACATAAGTTATAGTTCAACTGATTACGTAAATTGATTTAAGTAAAGTTGGATAGAGACTACCAGTGAAATAAACACTGGAATGCAATTAAATACAGTTTACAAGTTCAAACTAGAACAAAATGCATGCCCTGGGTTCCATTGTAAATCATTATCCATCTTTACTTAAATACTTTTGACTTAACAACAGTACCGCGCGTATTATCAGCATAGGGTTGTGGAGATTGTTGAGTTCTAGTTAAGATCATGAATCGATCAGTGTTAAACAGCTACTGAAAACCTGAAAGCACTGGACGGCCGTTTCGTCCTAGTATGGGACGCAATATAGTGGACTGGTTGAAGTTAGGCACACCGGCTCAGTGGTCTAGGAGTTAAGTGTTCGCGGCTGAGACAAAATGTCTCGGGTTTAAATCCTGCGGGCGGGAACTCAAAGTTACGATAAAGCACGATCAGTAGGGATTTGCTTTGAAACACTTTATTTCCGCATTACATCTGTATCTTCCGTATAATAAATCACTGAAACATTCTCTCAATAATAAACTTGATAGTGATCGCTTCATTTGTTGGATAATCTAACGTAATGAAAAATCACTGTCTGTTAATAGTGCTTAATTAACTTATTTGACTTTTAACAACTTAGTGAAGCCAGCGATGGTCAAAGAGACATTTAGTGGAATTAATTTATCAACATCTCAAGATGATTAACTCAACAGCATCATTAAACATGACATGATTTTGTCCTAATCTCTTAAGAAATACATAATAAGACTGTCCAATGACATGTAAAGAGTGAAATTCATGTGTAGTCTTGTCTCTTTGATATCAGCAAAGGAGCACAATTAAATAAATTAATGAACTTGAACAACATAATCTTGAAATGAATCATATCATAGATAGTTATCAAAAGAAATCAAAAATAGAGCGGTCTTTTGTTTAATAGCTTTAGCTTCATCAAAACTCAGTACACTTCATATATATGGATAAACTGATTCCAGTAAAATGTTGTTCTGTTATGGGTAGTGTAGTCCTAGTTCAATAGATCAGACTTGATAACTTTATTGTAATCTTTTAAAATGTAGTCTCTACTAAGTGATTAATTTTCTTCAGCCGATATAAATTTGTTAAGTGAGAATTACATGAATAGATTATATAATATTGTGTGAAGTAGATGAAAACTTACCGTTTGTGCCCATCCAGAATAATTTCCCCAAAAATCACTAAGAGACTTTGAGATAATATCATATGATTTTGTAGTCATATTTTCACATGATGCTTCAGGAATTCCTTTCTCACGTGCAACACGATGCATATGAACATCGATAGGGACAACATTCAATTTATCTAACGACATAAGACATATACAATCTGCAACCTGTGAAAATACAACAATAACAGAAAAGGAGAATAAAATTTACCTTAAGAAAAATTAAAACAAATAACAAAAGTGTATTAATGTTTTCTTTACAGTATACATATGACAAATTTAACGACAGTTTGCTCTTCCAAATCATGTTAACCAAATATTGGTACAGTAAATTAGGATAACTTTCGAAAGTAATAAAACATACACAACGCATGATCTTGGAACCGAGTGGAAGAGTGAAATAAATTAAGATTATGGAAAACTTTTTTCTCCACACAAAGAGTAGATTTATCTATGTGCAAACCCATGGTTTCCGTTTTACACGAAAAACGAGATCTGGAAGTGTAGTGTACGCTTGATAGAATTCTACACATAACTTTGAAAGCTAACTTCGTATCGATTTAGCGACCGTTATCCATTAAATGTGTCAAAACATAGCTTCTTAAAAATATCACGACATATTTACCTGAATGTACGTTCACTATATAACAAATTGAATATATGTACCATTGAATTATAACTCAATAGTCAAAAGATATCTTTCTTGCAGTGAAATTTGAAGGTTAAGTTTAACCCCGGATCACTAGTTTGTACATGCTGAATAATTTTAAACTACAATCACAAGGCCATCTAGTACTCGCATACTTTAAATGGTTCTTCCACTAATGCGCTAGTTCGTAATAAAATTAACTTACAAATAAACGATAAATTGAAATCTATAGACAATGATTAGTATAGAAAGAGATGAAAATGAAATATCTATAGAATTCAGTGTTTGAAGTGGTTTAAAATAGCCATTTTTAAATGCTGATTAGAGGATGTTGCAGTAAATCAGTAGTTGGAACATTTGATTGTTTTAACCATGAAGTCAGATAATTTGCACCTCATCGTATACACTTCAGTCAAGAAAACAGATCAGTGTTAATAATATCATTGAAAGTATTTGAAATATAAGGAAGAACAAAATAAAATTTAGTGACCTTCTTCCCGATTCCAGGTATTTGAATCAGAAATGCCTGAGCTTCAAAATGGGACATGGAACGAAGTTCAAGTAGACGAGATCGACCTCCATTTTTCAAAAGCCAGTTGGCAGCAAGCCTGAAATAATTCAAACATGAGGATATTCAGGAAAAGGCTCGTAATTTATGAACAAATATATTTTAGATATTTATAGAATAATTCTTCAATCCATTTCAGATAGATACTTCAAACAACAAAGTATTTTTCCTCATGAGTACAAATCAGAAATTTATGAAAAGTGTATCAACTGTTACGATTGTCAATAACGGGCATCAACGAAACACTATAGGATGACTACATTAATAAACCTCTCATCAGCCTTTATAAGGGCACGACAGAAGCCGAAATCCATGTCCCTTTGTATACAAAAGTCTATGTTTTAACGCTGATAATATTTTGATGGAGTTTTGTTCTCCGAGCTGCATAGTTTTTGTCGTGACCATTACACCAACTGGTTAAATATTAAAATCACCAGCAGCGATTTCTACACTTGAGGGTCTTACTTCTGATATCTAGGTAGAAAGTTTCGATAGAATGTACCATTTACTTCCTCCATGCTACAGTTAGAAAGGGCGTAGGCAGAAAAGCTGGTGGTGTTTATCCCTACCTTTCTGAGTCCTACTTATATCACAGTCTAGCAGCTGGCAACGTCTGTCAACAAAAAAACATTTAAGAAGCGTCTATTCCGTTTTGAAACTTAGTACTATGCCTATCCCCATCATGATCACAAGAAGTTACTGACGGATATACAGATACAAGAACAATAGATCAGGCGAGTTCATTATATAAATTGGATGAAGTTAAGCGGATGACCAAGCTAGGATCCAGTTTGCATGTTTCCCAGACGCATCTCACATAGATGCTACGAGATTCTAAAGGCTTACTTAGTGAATATTTTGTTATAAGACAATCAGAAAGTGTATCGATATACTAATGATAAAACATAATATAAAGGATTGTATACAAAGGTTCCAGTGAGCACAAATTATTATTATTATTTGAACACATAAATATTGGTACAAGAGAGCGCCAATATATATGCGCCACACAAAATAAGCACAAAAATAATTGTAAATAATGAACACCCACGTAATAAACTTGGAACGATAACCAAAACCAATTTTTTTCAAATTATCCTGCATTCCAGGTTGTGCAAGTATTTCAAGTGATGGAAATGTCCAATGCCTTAGATCACCATTTCCCAAGTACAATGGATTACCATATTCACTACACAATTTACAGAGTAATTTAGTAATTCTTGTTAAATTATTATTAGCTGATGTAATGAAAGAGAATAATGTTTCTTCTGGATCTTGTCTTAATAAGCGTAAACCACGAGCTGTATCCGTTTGACAATTTTTAGAGAAACGATTCTCAAACCATTCATCTTTCAAAGACCATTCCTTCACAAGATCAGATAAATTCATATCCAGTCTAAAGTAATCACGTAAATCAAAAGGAACATCGTTTAATTTTATACCCAAATTTTTCTCAAAATAATATTCAACTGGGTTAGAATCCTCCATTTGACGTAATCTCCATAAGTGACCATTTATTACTCCATGCCATTCATTCAGAGTTGAATTAAAAATCCAGCTATAATATGGAGAAACAAATGTACAAAACTGAACAGTAAGTTTACTTCATGGGAAACAAACATTACTTTAGTTCGTTTAATGATTTGCAGAACAAGTAGCGAATGTGGAGAATGAAACTGTACCTAGTATATTTTGGTGGATTTATGATTATTATTATTTAGCTCAGTTAACATTCACTATCTAAAAAGACATGATCATCAGAAAGTTAACCTACGAATAATAAGCGGTATACAATAATCAACCCAAATCCCTATTGTCTAGATATACTACTAAATAATAATTCTTGGGAAAAATGAGTGAAGTCGAAATTCGGTTTACTGCCATCTAAGTCATAGTAATAAACTAGGCGAGACGATAATTTATGGACAACCCAATCAGGTAAAAGATAGCAGGTCTCGAATTTTGGCGCGAAATTCACTCAGCCATTTGGCTAAATAGAGTTTTGGCATTATAGCTGATGTCAGTTCGTTATGAAAACCCTAAATTTTTACAACTTATGATGAGAATATAATTTATAGACGACATTTAGGCGACGCTAAAATGACTTTGAGAATATCCACCTACCAACTCGGATTAAATGAGGGTTAAAAAATGCAGTGACATTTACAATTGATAGTCAGAGTTAGGAACTAGTTTTGGGGTTTTCATCACGAACTAACATTAGCTAAAACGCATAGACGACATTTAGCCAAACTGATGAATAAATTTCGCACCAAAGTCCACGACCTATTATTTCCTATCTGACTGAATCATCCATAAATTATAGTCTTACCCAACTTATTTATGAAGACTACAAAAGATGGAGATTTTCTTCCGACAATTCTGGAATATATATCGTACTCCACAACCTATGTATCACGTGGCATCAGTTGATATGCTTATTTGCTTCGCAACTGAATCAACAAGTTTGGTAAATTCAGTTAGGTATGCTAATACGTTAATTTATTCACTTGTCGATCTTTTGAAACGATATAGTTTCATAGACTTAATTTAAACACAGATTAAAAATTCCACACACTACAACAATCATGTGTAAGTAAAACCGTACATTTTTTTGTTGTGATACATCAAGAGGATTTTTGTCCGAAACTAAGGGAGACGGGTCACGTTTAGACGTGAAGGATGACTAAAAAGCAATGAGTTTCCAGTTATTATAGAGATTGTAAAGAAGACAAAACCGGAATAAAGTGGAAAGAACTTGCAAGAAAAGACAATCAGTTACATATATAAGAATTATATCGGGCATTATTTTGAGAAATAATCTACTAAAAATATTCTTCTTAAAAGTAGCTACAAAACCATTTATTATGAAAAATTAGGTGCAGCGAATATCAGAAAAGCATGATAATGAACACGAGGCCTCCACTTACTAGTATTAAAATAAACGTCTTTCGAGTTTTGTGCTTTTAGAAATGAACATAACAATCACCGAGTTACGACGTATTCACAACGCGTTGAGTACAGTAACAGCCGTATTTTTGAGTCATAAGTTTTTTATAAAATGAATGGTGATTAAAATTCAATTTTTAACGGGATAAGAAGTTTTTCTATCGAGGAAAACTTTTAATAAAACGGTGGTAGACCAGATTTTATTTTACGATCACTTGTATACTGCTTTTCGAAACTCAACAATTTGTAAATCTAGCGAAAATATGAACTAGTAACCTCTACCTAAAAAAAATCTGAATGTCTCAGACCGAAAATGTACTACAGAAAACACATTGTACCCTTTATTAACCAGTAATATCTAGACGAATTATTATTTTTTACATGAATACGGTGAAAATCTCAATCTCTACCGAATATTTGTATCCTTCAGTGGAAACTTTGATAAACAATAAGATAACAACATACCGTTCCTATATGCTCTGTGAAAAGATGTTAATTTGCTCAATACTGTATATTAAAAGATTATGAGATAATAATTTCTGTAATGTGTCTGTAACAATACAACTCAGAACTAAACTACATAGACATAGATAGATCACAAAAGGTATTCTGAGGATTAAGTAGAATATGGTATTATAAGTTAGACGATTGAATGCTGTTTTGAATATCAGCTAATTTATCTAGACAATTATATTAACACTAACAATATCGATAACAGACAAGTACATCACAAAAATTCAAGTGAAGTATTTTACCAAAATCTTACGAAAAAGTTTTTTAAGCATTTTAGAATAAGATCCCATTTAACAAAATTTTCCACTTCCCTATTTCGCTGTAATACAAATAATATCAATACCATTAGTTCCCAGGAAAAAAATACAATTCACTTAAGTCCCTAAAAAAGCGATACCCACCGGAAAGCTTGACCACTATTTAAAGTCGAAAACAAATTGAAATCCTGTGGATCTACAGGAATTGAATGCCAATTATTAACTTGTCTCTAAAACAAAAGTATAGGTCAATGGAAGACAATTTTCAATCTCAATATTGGATTGTCTTGTTTTAAAAAGAATTAAAATATAAATTCCGAATTAAGTATTGAGTGTTTGATTGTGTGTAATTTCATGAGTTTGAATTTGTAGAAGCAATATAGCGCAAGCTTATTTCACAAACTTTCTGACAGTTAAATTACTGAATTCGGATTATTAAAAAACCATAACAACTACCAGTGACTTACCATGATGCTGTGAAAACTGCAATACCTTTTTAAGCGCAATAACAACTGACAACAGTTACGCAAATAATTCGAGAAACTAATTCAGCCTACGACGATGTGAATATCTATATAACTGAAATGGTATGAAATTTCCTTATCAACTATATAGTAGTGTGGTCAATTCATAAAATTACAGACCTTAGTAGTTTCAAAATGCTTAGTTAGGGTCGCCCGGATAACCGCAATCAGTGGTTGAATACGTCGGGTGGCATGGCTCAGAATCGATTACAACAGAACAAGCGCACCTATCTTATTCTAGAACTTACCTTCCAGTATTCCGTCAATCTTTAGGAACCATATTTTCAATGATTAGTTTTTTATCACCACTGTTACCACTATTATTCCCTTCCTACCAATTTTCATTTAGTCGTGCTTCAGTATGAAAACTTAAACTAATACAAATTTTCAGTAGACTCTACGTTGATTATAATAAATTGATGGTGGTCTGACATGTACGGAAACAAATTTGGAATAAAGCATAAAATAATTCATTAAATCATGAGCCATGAAAAAATATAAACATATCTACTTCTTATCTTCTAAACACATTAAACCAATACTTGTTTTCTAATACTGATTTCCGTTAGTTTCGACAAAATCATCTGGACGATTATGCTTGTTGACGTTTCAATGTCAGTAACTGAAACAAACATATTAAGAATATGTATTATGATCAATCAGCGACGTAACAACCACGTTAATCCCAACTACATAGTGAATATTTTTATTGAGTAAAAACAAAAGCCATGAAAATGAACTAATAATCAACAATTGGACGAACAAACATACATTATACACACCCATCCACTCATTTTTCCATACACAGCATTGACAACAGTTTTAATGATTCCAAAACAAAAACCGTAATTCTAAGTGAAACTTGATATATATATATATATATATATATATATATATATATATATATATATATATAAATCACGAACAATAAATAATATGCTTTAACACTTTCGGATCCTAACATAAAAGCAACAGTAACAAAGATAAATAAGGAGGGGAAAAAAAGAATCACATTGTTTGATAATTTCCATAATAATAATAATAATAGTAATAATAATAATAATAATTATCATCATCAGTGTAGTGAAACGATGACAATTATAATAGAGCAAACAATTGGAAATAATTATAATTTTTGTTTTAAAAAAAATTAATTGTCTAACTTTGTATTTATAGAAATGCAAAATAAATCACAATGAATGTGGAGTGATTGATTAATGAATTTGGTGAAGCCAATTAACACGTGTATCAGTGACTGAATGAATATAAATGATCAGTAGATGGTAACAAAAAATAATCCTCATTGAAATTAGATGACAACGATGATGATTATGATGACTAAATGTCATATTATGGCGAACACGCAAAACAGAACATTGTTATTATTACTATTATCATAGAATACCATGAAATAATAAACAAGTAATGACTAAAATAATCATAAACAGATTGAAAACTAACTAACAAATAATATTCTACAAGTAATTAAGTAGACAGGTAGGTATAAGTTAAACTAAATAATCAAACAGTACAGAAGAGGGATAGGCATAGAGAGAAAGATGAAAGAAAACCCAGCATAAAACAGAAATGAGTAAATTAAATACAGTTCAATCAGGAATGCACATACACATGTGCATGTAAAACTAGCGAGAGATTTTTTTATTCTAAGGACAAAGTAGAAAACATATTTGCCTTATGCTTTTAAAAGTTTTAACAAAAGAGAAAACAACAACGGCAACGACATTAATAACAACGATATATATATATATATATATATATATATATATATATATATATATATATATATATATATATATAATGGGAATGATAAAGAATTCTCATTGCTTATCGTCATCAACATTATTAATGTTATAAATCTATATTTTTTGCCAAGATGAAACCACATTGCAATATAAATTATAAAGAATGTTCCATTGGATTGGTCCATCATAGACACATTAAAATTGATCAGAGTATTAATTGAATATAAACAACAATAGTAACAATGATGACAAAAATATTCAATTTAGATCAATTGTTCAATGAGTTTGGCTAAATGAGATGAGACAATTTCTCGTGTACTGCGAATAGTAAGGCAATACATCTAAAAGAAAAAATAAGAAGGAAATGAGAAAAAATATTTTTAATTTATTAATTTAAAAAAGCGGTAATTAGTAAGACTAGTTATGTGTAGTTGGTAGTGTACATAGATCAAGGAAAATCATCCAATTGATAAAGGGATTTAGGCTTAATTGTATTATAAAAACCTGTGATGAAATGAAAACTATCCATAATGATACAATTGAATTAAACTTCCTCTACATTGTACATACAAGAAATAATGAACATGTATTTTATATTATAACAATCAAATTGCGATCTATTTAATTAATCTTTTCATCTAGTTCACATTTAGTCAATATCGTTGTATTAATATTACATTTCCTATTTCTTTATTAATAACAGAGAAAAGTTATTTGAATTAAATTATATCAGAATAATGTAACTTATTTATCAAGTACTATTTATCAATAACTATTATGACTGTAATGTTATTTGATAACTAGAGAAAGATGTACCAATAAGAACCCTGGTTATAGTATCGCTACGTAGAGTACACTATTTCGTACATAACTTATCGTCTTAAATCTTGATCAATAATAAGCTTTAACTGGCAACACTAACTTTGCGTTGAGGTCCAGTTAATTATAACTAATTAGTTCCAATGACACACACGCCTTCTAACATCCGCGGTTTCGAGTTTCAATAACAAAACAAACAAAGATAGCTTCTATCACGATATTCCGGGCATTCAGTATATTTACAAAAACATTTATTAGTTTATTTAGAAGAATTATTATATTGAACCCCCCCCCCCCAATAAATAAATCATCCTTTATACACAATCATGATATAAGTAACAAGAAACGAAGTAAACAGTGATTAACAATCATTAAGGAATATTAAAACGTGTAACAAAATTCAGTATGTTTAAAGTAAGCTCATAATACCGAGTACACAGCAATACAGTAGTCCAGTAATTTAATAAATATACAGTAATAACCAACGCTTCCAATTTTTTCGAATAATTTAAATATCTTATTAAAAGTTCGAGTTTGAAGATAAAACGTTCCACATCGCTAAATAAAGAGAAGAATGAATCTCGTGTTTCGGTTGTTTTAAACAATAATTTCAGTTCAGAATCGTGAAACGAAATTGTATTTAAACGATTATTCAAAGAATTTCCTATAGGTTAGGGTAATTTCGCTAAAAATAAAGTATTTTAATACACTAACAAATGATCGCTCCGAAATTTCTATTTTAGAATTATATTAGTTTTTAAAAAACAAGTAGTATGATGAGTGTAGAATAAATTTTTGTCATGCTGTCGCAAAATGACACACAAATCATCTATCAACATGTAAAGGTTATAAGAAAGAATTCGACAATAATAGTGTTTAATGAATGATCTGGCCGACTTTTTAACATGCACAAATATGAATAACAATTTTCAAATATTTCAAGAACATAAATGAGAATCGTAAACAAGAAAAGAGGATGGTTTCAAAGGTTATTAATTAGACAGTACCCCAACATATAAACATAATTCCAACCTTATAGTAACATCAATGTTATCAAGTAACCAAGGGTGAAAGTTCATAAAGTGATTAATGTACAGTTTTAAAAGACGAATATTCACGAGTTCATTACAAAAACTCTTTCAGGCAGAGTACAAATCTGTTCCAGTAATCATATCACTCCAAAGACTAGTACTGCATATATATATAATGTTATATCTATGCACGCGATTAATGAACAGTTTGAAATGAGTCATAAAATTAAATCACCATACAAATATCTAAAAAGTGCAACATCTATAACTGCTACACTATTTTAAGTGTCCTATATTCCAAGAAGCATTAATCACCTCAAAGTTGAAGCTATAGTAGACTGAAAACCGGCTACATGTAAGTCATTTTAGGTAGCTCGATGTTATCATTATTCGTCAACACAAAGACATTGGCACAGAGTCATGCTCAAGAATTAATAGTTGATCATTACGTTGCACTACCGTATAAAGTGCTGTGTTGACGGGTATCAACAAACAAGAAACCGAGGTTCTACATTTTATACCAAGCATACCAATATTCAAGTAACAACAAAATAAATCTAACGATCTAGAAGATTATAAGTGTTTCGACTACATATTGTTCGTAGAGTATCTGCCAAAAAAATGTAAACAGGAAGAAAATTCATTTTTAGTATAATTACATTTGATAGTTAGGCTAAAAAATGTAACTTATGTATCTATTATAAAAGTATTCCACCGATTAACTACTATTATAGAAGTAATTGATTAAAAAATGCATAAATTTACTGCAGCAACTAGTTATTTGAGGAATCCTAACTGATCACGGGAAAAGTCTGCTGAGTTGCTTTCATTTATACTAATCTCTCTGGCATAATAAACAATCAATAATATCCTTTTGATAGCATGTATAAATAGGCATTCATCCCCCAAGTTCCATTTTTAAAATCCCTTCCACCTAGTTTGGTTTGTACAACCGACTAGTATCATGAGGTCTTGAAATAACAGTGCAGCTGAAAGCCAAGAATATGTATCTGCGTATATACCTATCAAATATGTGAAGAATTCTTTTTAACAAAAATTAATGTATTAATTAGGAGGGTACATTCGATAATTAAAAATATACCTTTATTTGTGTATTTGGTTCTAATCGAAGTAGTACACCGACTTGTTGACTACTAGTTACAACAATACCTGCACCAACAACATTATTTGGATTAGGATCAATTCCATCCAATAAACCAAATCCAAAGTTTTTAGTCTATAAATAAATATAACACCGGACATAATGAAAGTAATTATTTTACATGAAGAAGTCAACGTGAACAGCAATGTTACAGACAAAAACAGAATAAAAATACGATCAATAGAATTCTAAATAGAAATATAATGCGAAAGAATGAGCTTTACATTTACTCCAAATATAAGAAGGACTACTACACAATAAACACTACTATATAGTCATTTAGTAGTATTATTGAGCAATAGAAATAACTTGTTGAGATTAACTAGTCATTATGAAATGGTATTTTGACAAAAATTGAATAAGTGATATACGCGAAAAAAGAAACATTGTGTGAATCTCAGTTATTAATTAGGTGACTGAAACAGAATTTCAGAAAATTAAAAAAACTCAATCATCTAAGATAGTATCGTGTAATCAGACTATGAGTCAAATATACAATTCGGAGAGTTTAAATACTCGTAAATCTTGATTTTATTTTAAATCACTATATCTAGGTGAAAACCATGAATTAGGTTAAGTAGATAATGCTCAAATTTAAGTACCACATTCAAAATTTACATACACATTGTAGATATATTCACATATTTTATGAAAACTAATAATGATATAAGGATTTTTTATGGCATGTTTTAGTGAAGCGAATTACTCGTCTACTGTTGGGAGGTAAGAATACTTCAGAATATGTATAGTAAGATTTGCAGTATCGGTAAACCGTATGATTTGACGAGCAAGAACTACTCAGATTTGTTCGGTGTATCAGTATGCTGATATGTTGATATCGATTAGCAAACTAGTTCCTTGACTCTGCAGTATGGAATGGTATAGATGGATTCAATAATGTGAACAAAAAGAATGACAAAGGTAAAGAATAGTAGGCTCAAAAATTTATGTTCAAATTCCCTAAACTGTCACCAGAAAATGATGGGCTCATTCACTGGATTACCTAATTAATATAAACATAGAAGGTTAGCTTTGAAATATAGTCTATCTCTTTTACGATGACAAAGATAGCAATAATTTTTTTATTTAATTAAGTGTTTTTTATAAAAATGTACAAACTATTGCGATGCTGAATACACTAAAACTTTGTCAAAAACAGTAGAGTAGTTAATATATTATTCGTTGTTTATAATTCCCAATAATGATCCTCAATTACACTATAATTCATGTGTATAAACCACAGTACAAGCCCTGTCTAATGTACGTATTGTTATCAGAATAATACTAATCAGAGAATTGGCCGAAAGTAATCGCGATTGAAGTCGAGTAGCAAAAACTACAACTTTAAATGTTAATTACAAATATTTACATACTAAAATTCTCTGTTTAGAATATCTTATTGTTATCAAATATATTATACTGAATAAAGTGACTATCGTTATTATTATTATACTTCCGTAAGTTAGATTTGATAAGAAAATGAATGACCACCAGTTTACTGCATTAACAGTTCATCAGGTTATGAGTTAAATACGAGCGAGAATCAATAACCGATTAGCTTTACAGCCTGGGTGCAAATATATATATATATATATATATATATATATATATATATATATATATATAGGAGTAAAATGGTCACAATCTGTTATTGACTCGATTGAGACTACGGATCGTTTCCAAACAAATATAATACTTTTGATTTTAAAAAATTCAATATCATGTATTAATAATACGATTAGTATACTTAATGTAATGGTAAATATGTAAACACATTTGATACAGTAGAACATAATTTTGTTAAATGTTTAGTACTTACATTAGCAAATTCGGTACAATTTAGCATACAAATAAACTTTAACTCAGTCACATTTACGTACTGACCTATCTACAAGCCATCAAATTTGGAGGTGTTGTAAGGACAGAGATTAATCGGAGACATAAGTGGACAATTATGACTAAGTATATCAACCACCTAGTTCACATATATAGTTTCCTTAAAACCAGTAACTAGTTACACTATAGCGAACTAATTAATAAATTATTAACTATTTATTGATTTTATTGAGAAGTTAAGACAATTGTCCAGTTCTACAACTATACTTTTTAAAATGACAACAAATAGTTTATAGATCAGATCAGTGAATAAGAAATTATTTAGCTTACTTTCTACCAATCTCACAATCACTATGAATTAAAAATCTTACAAGATGAAAAACTGATTGAAAGATATAATCATCTTTCCATGATTGCACATTGAAACAGAAAAATAAGAGGTGTCTTTGAGAACCAATCACTAAGGGTATAAGTTTCAAATAAGTAAATTCAACATTCGACCAATTCGGTACATTGACAATATAGGCAGATTCTAGTAGAAATTCTAGAAACTGTTGCAATGTTCGACATGATGAAGAAGTGGAAATACAAATATCGTAAATATATATAGGAATTCAGAAATAGAACAACATATATAAGCGAACAATATTGTTTTCGATTAGACCTTCATCAGGCTTTACTCTAATATACAGTAATATTTATATGCATATACGAAATTATTAAGCCAAACAAGACAGTTTATGATTCAGTGATGACTGTGGAATAAATAACATAAACACAATAAGTAAATAGTACAAATTGATAGTGTGATGAGGATCTAAACGAAAACAATATTGTTCGTTTATATATATTGTTCTAATTCACAATATGGGAATTTTCTAGAATTCAGAAGTACTAAACAGGTCTTCTTTACACAATTTTACATAATTAAGGAAGATACTTAACATTTATTCATTTTGAATTATTTTAAAATATAATACACCAGGAAAGAAAAAATGTAGAAGCATGTTCTTTTAATAGTTGTACATATACTGATTGTAAAACTTACAGTAGTTCTTAGGAAAGATGTTTCTAATGAGAATAGTGGAGGATTAATTTTTTGACATTCTCGTCCAGGTCTAAAAGTGAAAGAAAATAGATTGTGAAAATAATGGTTTTATATACAATAGTGAAAAACGTAGGATAATTGGCTTTTCTCAAATAAACAAGCTACAAAGTTTCAAATTTACTATATACGATACTCAAAAGCAAGCAGAATCCCTACATACTGTGGAATAGGGATTAATTTCTAGGTGCTTTTTTCGAATGACAATACTAATGGTAACTCTTGGAACTATTTTATGGACTATGATTATTTATATTCCTATTGTTTAATACTTAAATAACTGGACTACTGCGTCACTACATTTCGTTTATTGCAAGTTTCCGTTGAACTAGCTAATTAATATCATACTTTTTTACTATTCCGAAACTATTGACAATCAAGTATTTACTGCATATCCGATTCACTGCCACTTTGACTTGTTTTGTGTATAAATACTATCTTCTATTTTATAGTAATGATGTAGCCGGGTATGTCTGTATATAAACCTGTATCCTCGGAATAAAAATAATAATGGTAATAACAACAGGAGCTGTGATCTACTCTTATTTGGATTCAAGGCTGAGAAGCAACTGATCAATAGGAGAGAAGCATTCGTCAGTGCCCCCAAATGACGTGAAATGGCCGAGGGTGAGGTGGGCCCGCCCTTCCTCTCGAAATGCTCTCACACGGCCACGCATATACAGCCTCTACCAGGGAAGTCCTACTCACTGTCTTCTCGTGGCGAGGGTGTTGTTTACGAAGTTGAGAGGACGAAAAGCGAGTGTCCGGCGCTTTAACCGGATCCAAACCAATGATGCACATGGGCTCCATTATCCTGAAGGAACAAATGGCGTATGAACCAATCGTGGGTCACCGGCTACCATGGGACTGCATCTCCTTACGATGCTCCACTGCCTTGTGGATCAGACCTTTAGATCAAAGGCTCGGGGTGTGGCCCTCTAAGAAAACCACCTGCTTCGGTCTGGGCACCCGGGCAGTATCGCAGCCCACACACACAAATATGGTGTGGCGCATATCTATTTGGTGCCCTCTTGTATCAATATTTATGTGTTCAAATAAATAAATACGCATTCGTCAGTATCACCACAAGGTTAATCATGTCGCTCGAAATGTATCATTTGGTTAAGGATTAAGACAACAGGCTATAAACGCAATTAAGTAGGAAGGACATAGAAATCATAATCAGGATTTTGATTGGTAAAGTGATATTGATTAACATATCAGAAATAAAATTATTTGCCAAGGTGATCACAATATTAATCAAATTTTGTCAGAAATGCTTTAATCCAACTTGAAACAATAACTGCAAATACACTTTTTCCAATTTAATTCTTTGTATACATTGCTCATTTTACCATGAATATCAAGTTATCCAACAATTCGTCTTCCTTCATGTGTTAGTCATAAGATGTAAATGTGGTATGTACAAGTTGCCGTTATGAATTACGAGAAGAACGGCTCGTAACTAGAGTAGCTCAATCGCTTTCTTGATTCCGTAAGTAGTTTAAGCTCGCACTGAACCCCAAATAACGAGATATAACATCATGTCTGGCAGGACAAAGGAAAATCAGTATAAAGAAGAATCTCAAAGGGATTTCCATTAAGAACCTTTAGCTGCTCATTACTAAATCTCTTCCCAAACTAAATACAGAGAATACAAATATCGGAAAGCAGAAAAATGTTAGTACAATAAGGTTGACACTAGATTCAAAAGGTAATCGATATAAATATCGGCTCGCAAACTAAATATTTTCCAGTTTAACTGAGATTCTCGCGAACTCAGTGGATAAAAGATACGTTACGAATGTTTATTGCGATAGTAGTACTAACCAACTACCTAAATTCAAGGCGGTGAAAAAGGATTTATATGTGCGACTAAACAATTTATTAAAAGTTGAGCCTCTCAGATATTGAATTGTAACCAGATACCTAAATCATTTACATGGTGGCTAAGAAAAGATGATCAGTTTCAAGATTGTGGACAAGATGAATTTATGTGCTGTTAGAGATTTGAAGTGAATTTTTCCCTCATTAAATACAAAATGTTTCCTTAGGACTGGTTTGCACCATAGCCTTCGTCGGTCATAGAGTGAAGTAGTTGACTGTGTTAACAACTTCACAAATCTTGGAAGTCTCATCAGCCCGAGTAGACTAGAGGCTGACATAGTTCCCACAATTGATTGATCACTGGGTGGTGATCAATTTCATGCTTGTCTAGTCCTTATTAGTGCAGATCGAATGCTATCGATCATGTTGCAATGTGGCCAACAGTCTAGGTGACTCGACACTGCGGGCACTATGTATTGAGATTTAGATGGTGGTTGGAGGTAGTCAACAGGAAACCCTGGACCCGGGTTTCGTGCTACTTGGCACTCGTCAGCAAGGTGTACCTGTAATCTTGAGGGAACTGACGCTCCCTGGCGGATTCGATCTCGTGTCACCCAGCTTCACAGTCAGAGACGTTATCACTGAGCTATCCGAGCCGTGACTAACCTCCTGTAGGACTGAGATGTAATCAAAATTGATTGATCACTGGGTGGTGATCAATGTCATGCTTGTCTAGTCCATACATTTCAAAAACTACTCCCCGCACCGGAAATCTATGATATATTATTCTTAGTGCCAAAGTCTTCTAATCACTCTTTTAGCCGAGAGGTGATTGTTTGTATAATAACGATCACACAAATTACTTAGAGGTTAGTATAAACAAGGCATTCAAGAACTGATAAAGTAACCACACAAAAATAAACTATTTGGCCATCTCTGAACAAAAACTATTAGTTCCCAAAATTTTCACTAACACAGTAAAACTTACTGAGACAGTAATTTCCACCGAGAGAAAAATGTTGCTTGATCCATCTCTGCAGGTTGAAGGAATTTATTTAATGTTACTGGAAGCATAAGAGCATAACGTTGTTTCGAGTCTTCACATCTATTTAAAAAAACCACAGAAAACAAATATAGGATGTTACAGGTTAAGACGGGTGAATAAAGCTACGATTTTACGTGTATATGCACAAGTGAGATCAATTAAGAAAAAACAATAATCAATTTTTTCTAGAGCTAACTTTAATACGTGATATTTACATCGAAAACGGATAACTGGTCACCGGATTAATGACTACCTAATGAGGTTGGCAGTAATAATAATAGTAACAATAATATATTTAAGTTATATACGTAAAATACCCTGGCATAGGCTACTTATATTGCTAATATATATTCTAACGGTTACAGTTTACAACAAATGTAGTGAGAAAATTCTCGAAAAACAAAGATATGGAGCAATAGTTATGATCATAAATAGATCACTGTCGACAAGATCAAACTTAGAAAGGCACATAGAAAATTACGATTTCAATTATTCACAGTAAAATGGAATGTTTTTGCAGCAGTATTGTGAGAGGTTTTTATTTAGAGACAATATTAATCGTCCGTGTGCGAGATCCACGGTCCTGGATGTGAGCTCATGAGGAGTTTCATAATAGTAGGGAACGACCGTCCAGTGTTCAAAGGTTTTTAATGGGTGTCTAACTTAGATCGATTCTCGATTTAAAGAATATGAGGATAATTGTACTCCCAAATTGAGTTTTGAATATGGGGTCTAAGAAAAATGTTATGACCATTTATCTGTAATTTGATTAAACAGCTGAAGCTAACGTTGAAAAATAAACGATAAATCCAATAAATGACGACCAATGACGGAAAAAATGAGATCTCTGAAATGCTATTACTGTCCTTTTTCATCCCACACAGTTCCCAATTTATCAAGAAAAAGGATCATATTAACAAGTTTGATATTTTAGAGCCCAGTTTAAGATAACCAGAAATAGATTATTCTTTAAATCTGTTAGGATGTGCAGAAAAATATACCAATAATTATCATGTTAAGTCTAATGGTGGCCTTGGACTTTAAATGTACACTCCCTATTGGTCGATATTTATTACACTTGTTAAATATTGTACAAATGTTGTTTTCTATTTTATGGTACGATGTGGTTTGTTTGGTTGGTACATAAACAGAGTATGTCTGAAATATAATGATTCATATCTCAGAGGCTGTGACTTGTGTTCTGGACTCAACTGGCTGGGCTAGACAACGAAGCAGGGCCAATCGGGACTCTAAGTCGTCCTTACGTGTTTACGTGTCATTGATCCGATCGATAATACGCTGCTCTCTAGTCTTTCAGTCAAGACACAACAAAATCTTTCATAAAATTCTTTTAATGGGCATCGGATAACAAATTTGAACTTGACAATCGACTAATATTATAAGGTGTAGCTGAAAGCTAAATATATAAAATCAATAGTTTCTAAATGAATTAGAGTGAAAAAAAGTTGATAAAGAAATTTACTTACAAGTAAGAAACATCAAGTTTTACTATTTCAGTAAAAGGACGTAAACATTCAACATTTAATGTTTGTTGAACTTGTGTCCCTGCTTCAATTCGATCAGGACCAGGTTGAAGTTCAATGGAAATAGCTTTAGCCAATTCGTTCACATCCATTGCATCTGGACAAGTGACTTGAGAACAAAACACTGTGAATGGATGAGGAGATTTGTTCCCGTAGAATACACCTAAACGACAAAACTGACCACAAGATTCCATTCGAATACCAATACGAATAAGAGAATTCTCATATAATATCGCATTATGCCTTGTCAAAAAGCTGGAAACCAAGAGGCAGAAAGAATAACACTGCAGAATAACAAGAACTTATATAATGAACAAAAAACTAAAATTAAAGAGATTTACTCAAAACGTGTTGGAAAAAAATTGTATAAGGTCTTTTTCATAAATGAGAATTCCAGATATTTTCTCCTAAAATGAAAGAAATATCATGATCTACTCAAAATTTAGTTGATTACTGAGCGGTGACAAATGCCATGATTTTCTAGACCTATTGGTATTGATCAAATCCCATCGACCAAGATGTGGCCATTAGTCTGAGTGATGCAACACAGTGTACGCCACGTTAACGTGTTGTACGGTTGAAGATAACCGAAAGGAGACCCTGTCGACTACCTCCTAACACCTGAAATGATAATCAGGTATTTTTTTGACAAAAAGAAAAATATGTGTGATGGTAGAAATAAATTGTGAGAATGACTGAAAATAAATATTTTCGTCTGTTGAAGCCCTTATTTGAAATACTGGTCAACTGAGGTCACATCAAAACACGACAAATCCAAAATATGGATTACGTAAGTTCAGTGAACAGTTTATATACATGATAATTTGAGAATTGAGTGTGTAACTGATCAATTTTCGTAACTATGATTGACAGAACAAAAAATATAAAATTACGAATACAAATGGAAAGCTGGTAAACATGAGAGAGAGGAAAGGAAAATAGTAAACAGAACTGAGATTCGAATTTGACCGCCGATCAATTTGAAAATACTAATGTAACCAGCTTAAAACCTCACAAAAGCTTTAAACAGTTGCCTGCTATTCATTTTCTGACTGGTAGCCTTGCGATAATTGCTTTGTCTACATAGCAGCAGCCGTCGTTGTAAATAAAACACATTTTTCTGTTACTTCATATGCTTAAAAATTTGACAAATTAGTTACCCTACCCTCTAGGTGTACACACTACACTTTAATAATGCTAGGAATGTATAGATGGTGTATGAACATACAGGTACAGTCACTTCATAGGAAGGAACAGAAGTGTACACATCAATAACTTCGTCAGCTCACTGCAATACAATGTATTTTATTAAACAATAACATCTAATGAAACTTTAAAATTAATCTTGAAAGTGTTTAGGCTGTTTTAATTCACGGAAGATTTCAACAAAGAGTATGTAGTGAGTAGCGCACTATAGTAAAATCTGATTTAAAGTACAGAGTTTGTTAGCTGCCAATACGTCTTAAATAGAAATTAGTTACTTGCCAAAAATATACAAATATTTGTTTTGTAAAATCAACAGATATTTCCAAAACTGAAATGAATAGTGGATGAAGAAACAACAAACAAACAAGCGACGGAAAAAACATACGTTCAAAATCACAGTCAAAAGAGCCTCGTGGAATGTAGTTAAATTCCACACATCATATAAGTTAGTTGAGGAACGAATATTGAACAGTAAATGACAGCAAACATTAATGTATATAGACCTATTTCATTTCTGTGCAATATGACTACCTTTAGTAATTCAGTGACTTTGTCAGAAAACTATTGGAGAAACAAAAATAAAGAAATTAAAATGGTAACGCTGAATGGCTCTGTGGAAAATTAGCTTAAATTAGCAGCCTCGGATAGGATTTGGCACATAACAAACTTGTGCAAATCTATTTTTAGATGACTAAGCGAGTTGTAAAAGCAGTGTATAATGCTGTATTTTAAATTTAAAGAATAAATCTTCTACGATTATATAGTTTTGTAAATAAAGACATATACTGGATGAAACCGTCCAGTCATTCATTAGTAAAAACATTATCTATAAAATAGAATAACATTAGTCAACCATATTACTGATTATAGATCATCAACAGACAGATAGAAAGCCAACAAGCATACTTTGTGAATTCTTTATGATTTATGTATTGATCACCACTGGCATGAAGTAAATTGTTCATATCTGGAGAAGCCAAACCATTACCCATTATATCAACTAATAGACTAGATGATCCGTTTGGTTTTGACTGGACCTCATTGTATACAGTACCAGGATTGCCGAAATTGAGTAAATCTGCTTCACGATTAACATCGTGATTATTATCATGATCGATCTGGATTGGGAAAGAAAGAAAAGGAGTTAATAAAAAAACAACCAAATTTTGTTCAGATAGGAAACAATATCATGAAATTTAAATCAGTTTTCTTTATCTACACTGAATTACTCTACTACCTATTGGTTGAGATTTTACTCTGTTAAGAGAATAGATGCTTAACGATCGTATCCTCAGTGCAAGAAAAATTTACACAAGCTAACTAATTCCTTTTAAACCAAAGGGTGCCAGTGAACAAATTTAGGTCTTAGAAGTCTTTCTCCTGTAATTATATATATATATATATATATATATATATATATACGCCTGAATTGTGCTTTTGGAATACATCTGCCACTGCTGAACCTGGACTTTTCTGTAGTTAGACGAGGTCGAACGCATCGGAATTGTTAGCTTATTTGGTCATCATGTCACTGGGTCTTCGTTCCGTTCGCAGATGAGGCGAACTCGTAATCTTTTCAAAGATAGCAATATATACTCATGTTTCTTATTTTGTACATTTTACGCCAGTGTTTTAAGGAATACATTTTATTTCGGATTCATTTTTGTGCTTTTGTGCGTCTATTGATAAGCAACTACTCTAAATTGCTTTATATATATTTCTTCTTTGATGTACATTGACTATAACAGAAAAGACCAACTTGCAATAATTCAAAAGTGAAGAATTACATTGTAATAGTAAACAGCAGTCCAAATGTCAAGGAAAAACATTATTAAGTATACTCGTAAATTTTAACAATCGATTGTAAAAGTTGTGTTACTATGTTGATGTCACTACTACTCCATAAGGGAAACTAAAGGTCAGTTGTCAGACGTTTAAAAAAAGATATATTGTTTTATAACTTCTGGAGATGTGTAATCCACAAATACAACTTATCAGGAAATTAATATAGACTTAAAATGAAAGTACTATCAACCTTTAAAACACTTTCACAACATTGAATTATCAACTTCAATGTATTTGTACTAAGATTTGTGTTTAGTGGTAATTATGTAGTTCATAAATTATATTCATAGTAATTGATAATACAACCAATCAACTTAAATTTATTTTCCATAATACAGGGACCACTATCAACAAAGCTTCCGATATGAAACTAGACTTCTTATTCTGGAAAGTGAGGCAGGAAAGAAGACGATAGTAATCGTCGCGTTCACTGTACTGACGTTGAGAAATATTAGCTTATAGTGTGTGAACAGATATCATAATACTATGACCAATATCTATAAGAATTATCTTTTCTGATTTCACATCCAACCAGGAAAAAGAAGAAGTCAATTGACTGACTATACAACTTGTGTGGCAAAAAAAAGTCCATTTAGTACAATAACAACTAATAACTTATATGGCCAATACAACGCAGAAAAAGAATAATCAGTACACATATACAATCTGAACACACTTCACTACTTCTATGATTAAGCAATAAAATATACATTATCAAATATGAGTAAACTCAGATAACAGGATCACATAAACAACAAATGTAACTTCATATTGATTGACTTAAATTAAAATCGTAAATTATACAATTCTACGACGAGATATTAAAAATTAAAATACGAACTACATGCAAATAAATAAATGATGGGAAATGATTAAGTTACAAATCAACACTAGGAATTTTCAGTAAAAATAAAAAGCATGTGGACGAGTCAAACGGAATGAAGAATGTGACTTATATACAAGTCCTAAAAGACGGATAATCGATGTTCATAAGAACGAACATTTTCATGTTTCGTCTTTTATTCAATTTACAATGAGAGTAACCTGTAGAAGAGTTCCACAGATTGATTAAATATGTAAAATCTTTTTATAGGTTTTAATATTGTTATTTTTCGTAAACTATCCATCTACAAAGACTGGTTTCTGATTGTCTAAGAACTGGTTGAATATTTGTCCAAGCTGGAATTTTTACTCTTTAAAATTTGATTCTTAAAGTTTTGTATTCTGAATAGTCTTATCAAACAATTTATTCAAAGGACTAGATCAATCGGAATAAGTTATTCATTCTTTTTTTTTAATAGTAATTTTACGTTGGTTAAACATGTAAGGTGTATTTTCGCTATGGAAAAAAAACAATAAATTTTCACAACCACAAGTCAAATATTGTTTTGTGATAATAATAATAATAATGTGGATAAGTGAGGTGTAAAGGTACTGGAGTTAGCAATCGTATTTATTGTTAATTCTTGGGCTTTTTTTTTTGCTGTTGCAAATTCATTCTCATTATTGTAATAGTTTTACTCCGGCACATATCATTAATATCTATCTGATTAGATCATTTTTATGTTTTGTAATATGTATTTAAAGCATAATTAATAGATTTTATCTCTCTGAACTTGAAACTTCATAAACAAAAATAATGAAATCATCACTAATATTCTAGTTTTAATACTAAATTACTAAGCAAACTTAAAATTAGGGATACTATTTTAATTTTCAAAAGTTGTATTTAGAGGAAGAAATTTCACGATTATTTGATTGTTTTTTAAACCATAAGAAATATTCCTTTATCATCAATTGTTTGCATATCTAATACTTGGATTATATTAATATTAAAATTACCTGACTATTTTAGTCTAACTTAATTACATATGGCAATAGTCAATGCACTTGTTACGCACGATACAATTTGGGAGAAAAATAGGAAATCATATAATGTGAAAGGTGTATTCCTACATTCTTTCACTATCAAACATATTTATTAAACACAAACCATTTATAATAATAATAATAAAAATAATGTTATTTTAAAAAGTCAGTCACAACACAGGACCAGGTACATATATACGTCGGTCCAAGTTGCCACAGCTCATTAGCACAAGATGGACACCAAAATCATATAAGTAGTTAATTCATTGGTAGTAATATATAAAAGGAAGATTGTGTATAGGGAGATAATACAGGAAGGAAGAATTAGTTCATGAAAAGAAAGGTGAAAAGTAATTTTAATCACATGGTTTAAGGGAAGACAGACAGTGTAAACATCTACGCCATTGTGATCGATTCTGAGCCATATCAAAAGATAATTCATAAGTTTATAGAAGACTGAAAAATCTATTTATTTATGGTCTTTATCGTCAACTTTCTACTAGCTTGAATTATTTGTTTGTTGACAAATGTTAATGGATACGAGTTCATATACTGTGTAAGATGTGAATGTCACTTAACTCTTCTTCAATAGTAACATCGGAGTAAATAAGTTTGATAATGATGTATTAAACTCTCCACTATGCTTTCTTTTATATCTAACACGTATAGAACTGTAAAATTAAGAATATTGATCAAATGATAATGACTTTGAATAAGCAATTTTTAACAGTACATTCAATCTTCTTATAGACAAAAACATTTAAAAATAAAATATTACCATTACACTCTTCCTCTGGTATAAAATATTAGATGAATAAATGCTGCTAAAACATTCAGGCAGATCAATCTTGTCTATTACGATAGCAAATACTAACCGGTACTATTATGATGCATGCTACTTACGTTGACAGATATAAGTAGTATGTAACACCAATCAGGAGTGGAATGCCTGGCAGCAGAAGGTTGAGAAGATCGAATTGAAGAGAATAGGAATGTAAACAGAGAGTGGTTGTAATAACAACAGAAATGGAGGAACGATGAAGTTTGCAAGAAAAAAACAGATGGAAAATGTGCAAATGAAGTATTTAATGTATGGTTTTCATATTGTATGAAAGCACTCTGTAATTTTATATTAAAGAATAAATTGGTCTTTTCCACCTGAATTCTTCGTTTACTACACTATGGAGTCAATGTAACGCGGAAAAAATGCTAACTAGCTAATTTCATTCTGAGGTGAACTATTTTGTAGTATTTTCAGAAAAATGTGATCCAGTGATGATCCCAATAGAACCCTATCTGATTTATTTAGTAAAATGTTTTGTGGAGTTTAGTTTAATCTAAATGTAGTTTTTATAACTGATTGAAATCAAATGTGAAATTATTTAAAACCCAAAGAGATTTAGAGGAAAGTTTCGTTTGGAGTAACCGTAATGTAATAAGATTCGATAATTCCAAATGTATGGTGCTTAGAAATATGAAAGTCATGAAATTGAAGTTTTTTGCAAATTTATGAATATATTTCTAGATGTTTAAAAATAAGAAAAGCAAACTATCCATTTAATGCTTTCTAGTTTTTATTGGTTTTATACTATTAATGTCAGTCAGTGACGAAAGCTACCTTTTTTTAAAACTTGGCTTACTTTGAAATACTTCTACAATCGTTCTTAACTAAACAACGTTAAAGTTTAAGAAATAACACTGCCTAAAAGAAGATAAGTGTTGTACATGGAATAAACTAAAAACTAGAGATTATGCTTAAACAAAACTAAAAAGCATCAAAATGAATGGAAATCCTATCAACAACAAAAAAACACTAAAACAATAGGATAACTGATTCCTATTTGCTACAAATTTTATAAACAGACGTTCTGTGTAGTTTTGTGGTAAAATAACTAATTCAAGGAGTCAATAGGTTACAGAATGTATACAATGGATGTTAACTTGTGCAAACCCGTTGTTATGAATATTTTTTAATTGAGGAAATTTTATTTCTCCTTAATATATATATATATATATATATATATCACCTAAAGTACAAAACAACGAATCGATGAAGTTAACATTTATTTAAAAATCTATTGCCAACAACCCAATAGGTGTTATCATATCGAAATGTTTCAAAATTCCAGTGACCGTATGAATATCATCATATAAATTATATTTAATCATCGAATGAATAAGCTGTATGTGTGATTCTAAATATTTATAATGTTTAAGAATTCGAATGTTAAGTTATATTATTCGTCAAAAAATTAGTTATACAACCAAACTATTGATCACTAAGCAAATAAAGTAAACAAAATTACTAACTAGTAACATAATTAGCATTTTCACTAGGTATAGTGGTTAGTGTCTAATATTAAAAGCTTTAAAATGCTCAAGGGTTAGCTATGTAATATAAAGTGCTAACAAATAATGATGTACCAATGATGATGTAGACATTAACCACGCAAACATATGCACTACTACTATCCTACATGTATGGAAATGAAGATTTTACGTTTATTTAACCTAGACATTGTTACCGATTTTTGTCATTTTGTGTGTTTTAGAGCCAGTGAGTGAAAAGTTGCATTTACATTATTTTTTAGCTAAAATGAAGAGTTTGTGAATGTACACCAACGTAGATATACACAAATCTTGAGGGTCGATACTTTCCCACCAGCTTTCAACTACAGAATAATAACAACGTTGTAACCTAAACGGGGTGACCTGACTTCATCAAAAAGTCAGTAACTGTACATTTCAATTTAAATAATAGTTACGATCTCATTTTTTCTTAGTTTTGGCTATTGGAAGGGAATTACCTACTTTAATCCACAATTGTATAACGATTGGAGTAAATAAATATGTTAAAAACAACTTGGTAGTGGTTCTACTACAAGCACTTGATTATCTATCTGTTTAACATAGGACAGCTTTCAAAAGCCAAAACAAAATTATTCTTTACTGTGATAAAGATGATCAAATAGGATAGAATAATCCTATAATTACCACTTCCACAGAGTCCAATATGTATTAGGGCTTGAAAATGACTAAGAATGTGGAAACCGGGTTAAAATCAGTTTAGAGTTGTCCTAAACTGTGGACATACTGTCATAGCTGTAGAAAAAGAGTTCTGAAAAACAGATTCAAAACGTGAAATGTATCGTCCCAACTGAAGTACAATGAAGGAATAACACATTACTGGTACACACATATATAACAAAATAGATAATAATACAACTGAAAACTAACTTTGGTTGAATTCAAAGCATAACTTTCCCCAACAGCTTCCGATTTTGATATTGTACCATCAGTATTAGGATTTTTAGCTTTAAGTTTAGCTAAAATACTGGAATGACGCTCTGGGAAAGGTGGCATTTCTTCTAGAACAGTAGCCTAAATATGTCAGAAATAATATGGATAATTAACATATAACAGAGAATAGGTGAACAAAGAATTTTTTTCAAAAAAGAGATAATAAAACCAGAATAAAAACCATTTACATTTGTAATTTATGAACTAGATAAGAAAATATGGATCAAGAAATATTCTTAACATTTCAATTTTACTCAAAGCATAGGTAAATAAGTACTACGAGAGAAGATAAACCCGACAATGAATTTGAAAACTCATGGAAACTCATAATATCTTCAAGGTTAATTACAAATTAATAAATTCCCAATCACTTCATGAGAATAATTTTCAACAAAGCTTTCTACATTGAGTATGGTGGAATTCAATTTCGAAATCAATCGGATTTTAAGCCACAAGTCGTGAGAGAGAAATAAGCTCTTTATTTTGTACGATATGATCTAATTTAAAACACTTCACTTCCAAAAATTACAGCAGAAGTGGCGATACAAAATTAGTACAGTGAAATGAAATTATCGAGACAAATCCTACAGTACCAGAAGTAGTAACTGTTATAACCGAGCCAAGATTAAATCACCAGTAACTTCTGAGACATATTAATTGACTAATATTATCTATACATTCTTATGGTATAACTAGTCAATAATTAGATTATGTATATTTATATTCCTCTTATTATAAGATTCATTTTGACCTATGATTTATTACTGTACGATTTACTGTTCTTAAGCTATGTTCAGTTTATTGACTACTGCCTCCCACGCTCACAGTCACTTTTTGGCTTTATTGTGTACAAATGTTATTTCCTATTTTATGGTGCGTTGAGGTCTGTTTGACTGATATATAAACCCAGTATGTCTGAAATAAATGATTCGATCAGATTCGCATAATGGGAGCTGGTACTGGTGTCTTGGACTCAAGTGGACGGGATAGGCGGGCATATGACCAATAAGGACGATAGGATGCCCATACCAGTCGAACGTCATTGGTTTGGCACAGTGCTAAGATTGTATAAGTCGTATTTTGATTGGTGGATAAATCACGTGATAAAAAGCAGGACATAAAGTCATAAAAGTAACACCATCAAGTGTAGTAGAAAAGACTAGGCAAAGAAATATAGAAAATAAGGTACATGGACATTTACATAGGTTTTAAGGGACGACAAAGTGTGAATGTATCTGCGTCAAATATGGTTGAATAAGTAGTAATAAACATTCCCCTACAGTCTATAATCATCGTCATTTGTTTAAATATGGTCCACGCTGAGTTCATTCGTTGACACATTGATAATGAAATGGGTCATGGAACAGAATTCAACCTCGGGAACCAGACCCATTCAAAAAATTTCATCTTCAATAGAACTCGACAAAGAACATGATCTTCAACAAACATCTAAATGCAAACCAAATAGTTTCTTTCTACATTTTCAAGAAATTTAAATACCACCTAAATAAAGAAAATACGAAAATAATGAACAGCAATTGAAGGAAATAATTTTCAGCGATCGTAAGCTTTATGGAGTACGATTTGATAAAAAAAAACGTCAGTTAACGTTTAGGATTCGCAGACCAACTGCTATGATAATGCTGATCAAATAACAGTAATGACCACATTTCTTTGGATTTGCTGAAATGTTAAGGGGTTGGGAATCAAGATAAGAAAAGGTTGTAGATGTTGTGAGACGCATTGAAGTAGTGACTTTTTAAACTGTTACGTTACCAGTAAATTTAAAGTATGGTAAATGGAGCGAAAATTGAATGTGTTTAAACATGATCGTAAAAATGAAACCATTACATTTCAGTTTATCATAGAGAAATCCTATCCTACCAACAATCCTAATACAGAGTGTTTTTAATTTCCGTTAAATTTTATTTTCAGTAGTAATAATTTATACAATGAATAATTACAAAAAAGACTAACCAATACGTCATCAGTGGCGATTCGCGATAGCGCTAAATATTCAGTAGCTCGTTGCTGTATTTCTACATTGGAACTGCGTAAATTACTGTCATTTTGTAGTACAGACTGTATATCGGACTTAATTTCTGGAAACAAATTGATAAACTTCATATACGTGGACAACAATAGTTGACGTGTAGTTGGAGTACATAAATGAAATTTACTATGCAATAAATTGAATTGTACTTTAGGTCTTTGGATATAAAAAAATGAATTTACAAAACAGAAACAATCAATAATGTAGAATTTTTATAAATTTACAAAAGAACTATGACAAAAGAATCTAGTAAAAGTTATTTGTTGATAATTGGTAGTGTGGGATTTAAAAAGTTACGTATTAGATCTGTAATTATCAACCCGATCAATTGCCACTTTATTCCAGTTTTTGAGCCTACACAACTAACGAATGGTACGCTGAAACGGCATGAAATGTGGGTGCCGTGCAACTAATTTTATAGGTATACATGAAAATAGACTATAAAACTTATATTCTTAATCATAATATTACATAACAGCGTTCACTGGTATATTGAAAAGCAATCGGACGTTAAAATAAATCTGCATGGTATTAGCCACTGTGCTGTATACATTTGTTATTCTAAAAGTATGTTGTGAAACAACTTAACAAATCTTATATCATACACTTGACTTTAAGTCTGTGATTCAATGGGAAAAAGATAAGGTTAACAATCAAATCTTGGCTCATCTGTTCACAAGTGGCTTGTAAAACCAGGATATTCTAACCAATGATAAAATGTAATCATGTTCATTTTTTGGCTTAATATTAATTATGCAGGTATGTTATTTCACTAGAAAAAACTGTTCTGGTGCCAAGTTATCGTGTCTTCCTATTTGAATTCATTCGGCGGGTTACATCAATAGATCAGTCGCCACTACGTCACATAATATCATTGCGTTTTAATAATCACCAATAAGTATGATAACGCATTCCATAAACCATTATTTACAACCTTAGATATAACACACGTAACAGCCAGTGATACTAACTAACTGCCTAAACCGAAGTGAAGTATGGTTCGAACTTATGACCACATTATTTTGAAAGCACATACTTCAACCGTCATACCACATTTCCACTTTGAGAAACGATATTAGACTTTACAGTTACAGTTTTATAAATCCAACGTCGAAAAAATCTTTAAAAGACAAGTAACAGGTTTTTAAAAGACTAAAAATCTTTCACTTTAGATGGATACATTCACAACAGTGGAGAGCGAAGTAAATCTGTTCATGAAAATATTGACTGTTCCCATCCAAAAAATGGAAAAAAACTAAATAATGTGAAAGCTTACGCTGATCTTGGGTCCCCTGCAATCAGATTGCCAAATTCACCCAAAATATATCCTCCGACTTTAACCATATTTTCATGACATGCAGGAGCTTGAAGCGCCTGTAAATTAGCAAGGTTAATGATTATCACTAAAGAATCAGAATAGAGATATGTGACTTTAAAAAAATCATTTCTGTTATGATTCAGTAATCTCCACAATAAGATGAAAACAATAAACGTAATAAAAGCGAATAATTCATTGTTAATTTAGGAGCTGGCACGAATATGTATTATCCGAAATTGACATAACACATTAGCAGTGAGAGAAATTAACAAGATATAAGATGCAAAGAAGAAATAAATGAATGATAGTGATAAATAATAGTAATTATAGGTCAAATCGTATAATAGTTCGTGAAGCTTCTGAAAGATATCTATATATAAACAATATATATGTAAAAATGATGGACGAACAGTGCATTATTGGATGAACTAGTTAGCTGAAATGAATGTAGAACAGAAAGGAGAGCCTACGTCCGATTCAAAGAACATATTCCGAACAGTTTGAGATCAAACGGACTAAAAGCATTCAGCAGCGCTGTCGCAAGACATCTCATTGACACAGGACACGAAGTCGATATACTGAAGTCCTTCAGGGTGACCAACAAACAATCAAATTCAAACCTTTTGAAATTCGCGGAAGCAATAGCAATCAAACGTTTAAAACCAGATCTTTGTATACAAAAAGAAACAGTAATAAATCTTTCTTTGCCCTGGTAACATTCACCCCACCCCCTTTTATTTTATTTTATCTATTTTTATTACGTCATTTCAACTCTTTCTGAATTTTATAATTACATCACTCATAACTGACCAATTTCAATTCATATCTCTCTTTATTAACATTAATCTATTTTCAGTTACTTCATTACATAATCGTCTAATGTGTTTTAATTCGATGATTTCTAATCACTATTTCAATTTTCTGGAACATTCTCTCCCAAACTCTATATATTCGAAACAAAAATTTTATGACCTCAATCACTCTAACGAAATCTTTACCACATTATGTTACATATATTCATCCTTCATCGCCCTCTGTTGTATAAGTATGTCAATATCTATAATAACGTTGAATTTCAAATATTTTAGGTTGTAAGCAGCTGATGAGAACCTAACGAAATAAAATGAATTCATATTATTCTGCACCAACCTTTGTTCTTACTCTCTTTGAAATGAATGTGTTTCTTCCTGTTAAAAACAGATGCTAGAAAACCTGCTAAAATGATATCAGAAATAATCCAAATGCAAGAAAAAAGCAAAAGAATACGAAAACTGATTTATCAGAGATGGAAATCTTTTTTTGTATAAACAATGATAAGATGTAGTCAACATGAAAAAAAGTGGATTTTTCTGTCCACGATCATATATAACCTATACTAGTACTCTGTAAATATTTCCACGTCTGCAACTATCCTTTATCTTTTTTCTTCATTTTGGTTTCACTTTGAATTGTTTCCGGGGTTATTTAGTGTGATTAATTAACTGAAAAAGAAACTTAGCACTCCAGAAAGGAAAAGGTCGCACACCAAATTAAAATTACGTAACAGCTATAATAATAACAGTGTAATAGTGATAACAGTAATAATAACAAAAAATAATGATAATAATAGAATGGTTATCCGTTTTCGGTTACTAACCCCATATGAAGTCAGAAACTATTTGATATGAAACCTCATGAGCTATAGTAGATCAAAGGTTTCTAATTTACGCACTCAGATGATTCTACATTGTGCTAACAATAAGGGTATATCAGTGATCTAAGTATGATTAAAGTTAACCAGAAGAATTATGGAAAGGTATTAGCGTACCATTATGTTAAGTATGACAACTGTAATAACGAAAGCATAAAATTATTTCTAATCTACTGCAATTCAGTATCAATTTAAAACAGTGGAGAGTACTGTCACAGTAAAATACATTATAAATAACTGAACAATAATTAAAAATGAGACATAAACTCACCTCAAACACTGTCTTTGCCGCATATCCTTGTACGTCTTCACGATTTATAACAATCTGGATGACACGATGCCAAACTTCATCACTAACATAATCACCAGCAACTCTTATTAAGTTCAGTATAGTATCCACATACCAAGAATAGTCAGTTGCGTATTTTTCCGCCAAGATAGCAACCTTTAAAACCATCTCCTCACGGATAGCATAATCCGCTACTTCCAAATAGCTGAGCATCTCCCCTACAATAGCTTGAGCATTAGTTCGATCGCACATAGCATATAAGAGATCCACAGCTCTTTGACGAACTGAAACATCCCGTTCACTCTAAACAGTAAAATCAACAACATAATGACAGGTACTGGATTATATCAATGCACATTTTCATGCTTTCTTTACTTAATGTAACATCTTTCACAATGACGCTGGGTGTTAAATGGTGTGGAATCCAAGTTTACAATTCCAAACAAACTAGTGAAGAGCATTCAATAATAACATCAATCATTGAAATCTTAAAACCGGAACGCATAACCTAGATTATTGTTCGGATATTTAGTTAGAGACTGACCAGGTTGAAAGCCTGTTCACATCTAGTCGGACCATTGACTTCAAGGGCAATTTTCAGTAATATAGCACACGACCGAGTTCAATTAAAAGTCATTACCTATCAATTTCCTACGAATAGCAACATTCCGCCAAGTCAAGCGCTTTTTGTTCAGTGCTAAAAACTTTTCGATCGTTATAAAGTAAAAGTTGACTTACAGCATCAAACCACTTATGGTTTAGAAAGACATTAAATCATATTTCTCATTCAATGAGAAAATATGGTCCCTAAACAAAGCGACAATTGCATTTTAAAGGACGGTGCTTTAAACCCTTGATTTTGATAAATCTAAATAAACCTTTACTAAAGTTCATTGAAAGTTTAAGCTTTTAAACTTAATATGCTTTTTAAGCTCCCAGGACATTTATAACACAATAACAACTAGTGTTTATCTAAATAGGACTTACTTTAAGTGCATTTACAATAGTTTCCTGATGTTTCTTGACTGCCTCGTGACTGAATTCACTCGTAGCCAACAAGCATAATGATTCAAGAGCTAAGTAACGTAGATTGGTCTCCTTGTGTTGTAGGAACTGTCCTAACTGATTACAAGCACGGACAAGCAATTTGGGATCAGAATCCATATGGATTATAAGATTGATAGCTTCAAAAAGAACAGCATTCTTAGCATTTGGATGTTGTACTTTCTTTGATTTTGGAGCTTCTTGAACTTTCTTCAAAATAGTATCGAGGCACTCAGCAAGTCTAGCACGAACCGTAGTATCCTCTAGATAATAAAAATTAAAAGTACAATATTAAATAAATTATTGCAAAACGGTATATCTTATCAAATAACGCAACATTGTAGTAACAATTAACTGTACCTGGTTGTGGGTAGTTCTGAAGTAGACGTAGTAACTTGACAGATAACCACGGAGCAGTAACAAAGTAGTAGGTATAATCTTGTAGGTCAGTATAAGAAGATGTTATTAACTGGAAGGAAATAGAGGAAACATGAATTTTTGAAATGATGGATTCAGATATCAATCACAAAAGTTTAGTTATCATGTTTATGAGATATGTAAATCAGGATTCCCGCACAATATATGTGTGCAGTAAGTCGGTTTAGAAACCAAATAGTAAATCGTAAAGTAATGGAAAGGCTGTAATGAAAAATTACTACTGCTACTATCTGGAATAGTCACAGTCCTGTTATAACTCGCTCCTTGCTAAACGATTTTGAAAATAACAGCGTAATAGTGAACGCAAATGTGATGGCAATCGCTGAACATAACGCGATCGCTTATTAATACTGTGACTTCGAAAATCCTAACACAGCACCAAACTATTAACACAAAGCCTACTAATTCACACACTCAATTTGCAGTGATAACCAAGTAAACTTAATTAATTAAGGGTTGAATGGATAACATGTTGGAAAAACACAATATTAAATGGGTAAATAATGGGAGTTGCCAGAATACAATCGAACGTTATGCAGAACTATCATTATAGTGCATTGGTAGATAATGATCTAACGATACTCAACAGTAAGTTGCATTGTCTCTTAAACTTGTAGTTTTTTTATCTGAAGAAGGTATAGATGCGCTGCTACGTAAATCGGATTATAAAAAATACGATGCGATTTCGTGTGATCTGAACACTCAGATTTAAACAGGCGAAGGGAGAGAATACATAAAATATGAGACAAGTAATGTTAAAATAACCATATTGCAACAAAAATTCTTACTCTGCTAAGGCGTGAAACAGCAAGAGATACACATCCTTTGTGTTCTTCTGGACTTCTTTTCACCAAAGCATCGATCAGACTAACGGCCGATGTCACAACACCCTAAATGGTGAGATAAATTTAAATATTATGGTTGATTGAAATAAAACAGAGTAATGGAATTTATATACTTTACAGAACATGATGTTATACAAGCAAATATGTCAACAGATAAACAGTACTTCCTTCCAGAATGTTCCTTATACATGGACCCTACAACTCAAAAATCACTGATTTGAAAAGAAGAGGTTTCGATCTATAGGCCGGTTACCTTCGCAGTTTAACTATAACAGGGCGGTGGTTTGACCTTTAGACAAAGAATAGTCGGTTTGAACTCTGTTCCATTTCAGTTTAAGCAGTCAGGGAGTCCTACTAGTGCTCACAAGGAGTGAGCTTCGATGCCGGTTTGTGTTTGGTGAATTATATAGCAGTAGAAAGTGTCAACTACAAAAGTTAATCGACTCTCCATCGTAAAACGTGCATTACACAGATGTGTGTGATCCACTCAACAGAGAGAACAGACTATATTTACCAACAAGTATACATAGGTGTATTGAAATGAAGTCGATATTCGACGATCTATGAAGTATTCCTAATACAACAAAGTCTAGCTAACTTTACGTGACCTAGAGCACGTTTAAGAATGAGCAGTAATCAACTCACACTAGAAATAATATGTTCAAATAATATGACTCCTGACATTAGAATGGACAATTGAAAGCGGGGTTGTTTGCATACCTAGTATGGTGGAGTTAATTTCAGCGTATCATACTCGAAATACAACTAGTTTCATAAGCAATAAACAATTAAACTCACCAAATGTTGATCATTAAGTAGATGCATGGCTCTAACAGTCCAATCATCATACGTAATCAGTTCAGGAGCAACCCTAATCAACTTCAGAAGACATAGGGCAGCATTTTGTTTGATGGAGTCAATTGTATCACTAAAGGTGGTAATGAACAAGCATGGGCATACCCTGATACAAGTAATTTAGGGATCTTGTCTGCAAAATTTTCAGCCATTTCACGACTCCCTATATTGGCGATGCATTGCAATGCAAGATTCATAAACACAGGATTCCGGCTATTCAGGTCATCCTTAAGACGTGAAATAACCAAATTCATGAGTGGGTGTGACTCATTGATGAGTACAGATATGAATAAATATCCCTATAGGTGTTATTTTGCAAAATACTCTTACTATTTGCTTTTCTGTATATCGGTTTGAGCAAAGCAGATTGACTGCCTCAGTGTGTCCGAAATCAATATCGTGCCCCAAAAGAAATATGAAGAGCAATTTACAGACATATTTCTTTTTCTGATAACCATCAAGTGTTTTATCACCTACAAAGCATTACAAATTATCTACTTATTACCCCTAAATTTTGATCTAATATTTGCGAGTTCTTTATTGACGCGGCGTATTTCGCTTTCTTTACTTTTACAGTTTCGGATATCAGAGATAAAAACGGCTAAACCTCGCATGGCATCTCCCTTCGTGTTAGGCATTTTCAAGAAAGCTTAATACAACTGTGCCGCCAATAAAGGTTATCCAAATGTCCCGAAAACTGACCATCAAATACCCAATAACTTTATCATTAGTTTGTATAAACGAACTGATTTTTTCACGGTCTATTCCTGGTATTTCGGTATGGTTCCAGGAATTTTTTTATGTCTTATTGATTGTAACCTAGCCAATCGAATGCAATAATTCTAGTCAGTGTTGTAGTTGGATTTGTATATATTTTAGTTTGAGTGAGTAGGTTTGACTCAGAGCAGCAGGGATTCTGTGTACCAGCAGCTATCGCATTACCAGGCATGATACTAGCTAGTTGCAATGTGAAAATAATGTGACAATTCGAGTACGAAGAAATGATTCTGTCAAGAATAAACAAATAGTTTACTTAATTGATAATGTACGAGAAGACGGAAGAAGAAGAAGAAGAAGAAGAAGAAGAAGAATCGCTACGTGCTAGCAGTGAGTGGACATGAATATCATCAACTTGACGATGATCATCTGTCTGTAAGTTATCTAAGTTCGAGGGTTTTATGTTGTAGAATTATGGTCTACCATGATTTTAGTACTGATCTAATAATGAAAATAATCCTAAAATTGCAGATTTGTCATGATGTAACTGCCTAATCTATAAGATCTTACGTGTAATTCTAATCATTGTCTACACTGACTCATCGTATCGTAACAATTATCGATAATTATTGTGGTGGTGTGAACATGTATCCTGAGTGGCGGTCAACGCCACCACTGCATTTCGTGTTCGTAACCTTCATCCCAACCAACAACTACTAGCTCATGTTATCCGTGAATCACCATGCTATTCGGTTCATAGGTGCCTTTTGATCTTCTAGAGGCAACCATGGTAGCACACGGTTTATTGTGTCCAACTTGGATTTGAGAAGACTGCTTGATCGTTGGTCTCCAGGATGTCATTAAATTTCCTCTGTAAGGCCTTCTGAATCCCAAACTTCCCTTAGCCAAGAGGGATCACTTTTTGTTAATACACGCCCTCATGCAAGAGGCATGGGTTGGCTGATGTGATACCTTTTCGGAGTATTGTACGGTATTTGTTTCAATGTTCTTAATCAATGGTCGCCCAACTTTCTAATAAGCTAATCTCCGACAAAGGACAATAGATAAGATATGGGTGTTTTTTCTACAGCCTTTGTCCCCCATTTTCGGAGTTTAAGTAGCTATGCTACTGGCATTTTCTTTCCTACTGCTCCTTACTTTTAATAGATACCAGGGTATTAATAACAGTCAATAATTTTGCTGGCGTATGTGCTAGCTTTATTGTTTCACTGTTTGTTTGAGCCTGTGATGGACCAGTTTGATATGTTAATGTGAATGGTTGCTACTATTTTTGAAATGTTCTCATACTTCTATTTCGTTAGTCCTGTTTGTGCATTTTTTCTGTACAATGGACGAATGTACCAGAACTGCGGACAGGGGTGATTTAACATAAGTCCGCAATACTGCCTAGACACTGCTGAATCACAGCGGCAGTGAATCGAGCCAGTCCGGTGGTCACATTCAAATGTTGGGACACTGGTTCTAACATGTGATATGAGTATTATACCATGATCTCTTCCTGCTGTTTCTCCCCAGTGATAGTCAGTAACACGAGCAATTTGGGACGCTGATTTCGCCATTTCCTTCTTGCTTGTAAGCCTTTCTAGGAGCAAAGACCCGAGGAAGTGTGTGATCCTGATTACTTAGTGGGGATTCCAATTTCAGTGTTCTAGTTGAGTTAAATATATTGTACACAATACTCAGAGATCATTTTCTGGTATTGTCCTGAGCTTTCTCATAATCTTGCTGAAAGAAGCAACTTATTAATAACCTCTGAATAATTTCTTCTTTTTCAGTTAGTCGGCTTTGTACTTGTAGTGTCACTACTGGTAGAAACGATATTACTGGACATTCAGTTGAAAGATCAAAATATAAAGTGTGGGACAGTTTAGGAAGAAAGTACAAATGACAAACGTTTAAAGGAGTAAAATGTAGAAGAAATAAGTGAATATATTCGACATAGGTACAGAACCCGAGAGACGCTTAGAGTCTCAATGTGTTAGTGAAGCTAAGAGACAGATTCAAAAAGGAGACACTGATTTTCAGCACGAGTTATCTTTGACTACCCTGAAACTGAGTATTAAACAGATGGGAACTGGTACGGAAATTGTTCCAAATGACACATCCAAAGGTAGGGGTCTTCTAATCCTCCCGAAACATTCTCGACGCAAAGTATTCAATATATTTCACGATCATTCTCATCCAAGTGTTTATGTTACCACCAGGCTCATAGCAGAACGATTTTGCTAGCCTTGTATGAATAAAGATGTGACGATATGGGACGCCATAGTGCAAGATGTCAGAAATCTTAGATGATTAGTCACAAGAAATGTCCTTCGGGCTCCTTCACAAATCCTGACACTCGTTTCGACCATGTTCATCTGGACTTGGTAGGCCCCTACGTGTGTTGTCCATTCCACACGATGTTACATATGTAATGGCATTGATTCCTAACGACACACCTTGAGTCAGAGCGCGTAATTACTGGAAAGATTTGTATTCAACACGCAGCACTTGCAAAAAGTTAGTGGGAACATTTCATTCAATCAATGATTAATCGGCATGATGTGTCTCAGCCTTGTATACGTGGTTATTCTTGTGTCACCCATACTTTTCCACATCAAATATATTATTCACTTTGCAGCCAAAATGTGTTCTTCCTAAGTGCGAAGCACCATAATGCTAAAGGTCACGATACGACGAGTCACTTTAGATAATGATATGACTTCTACATACGATATTATAGATTAAGTGGTCACATCGTGACAAATCTACAATTTAAAGATTAGGTCTATCAATACGACAGTACTAATAACGGACTAGACCATAATTCTACACGTATATCGCACTATATCTCTTTCCAGAGGTTTTATACTACGCGTAGCGGAATGTCTTCATTACTAATTGGATCAACCATTCGTGTAATATTTATATTTGTAATTCATCTTAAATAATGGTGTGTTATGAAAACAAGCGACCATTCGGACCTTATCTAATTGGTTATTAATGAATAGTGAAGCGTTATTTTTGGTTTGGTTCTAATCATAAAAGTTGTCAATATGAATTTTACAGAGTACTTAGACGAATATCATAATCAAATTATACGGCTGAAGAATTATTGAGCAACCGGAAATTCGATCACAACTAATAAACTTGTTAAGAAATTAGCCCTCAAAATTACAAATAGACTACGTTTCCACCATAAAAGAGCACACCCAGCAGCGTAGACAAATTATTTCTACGTCACTTAGTTAATCAGTTAAATCAAAGCACACGGAGAACGTTCAAATACGAAGGAGTCGTATGACCGCTCTTTTTAATCTGAAGTGTGATTAACACAATATACAAAACCACAGGACCAAACGATGCTCTTAAATCAATCATGCAAGTTCATCTTATCTGAACAACAGTTGAAGCGAGAAACGAAATATACACATGAACAAGTTAAACTGTAGAACTATGGTCTACTATGATATTAGTACTGCTCTAATAATAGACCTAATCCTGAAATTGTAGATTTGTCATGATATAACTGCCTAATCTATAAGATCTTACGTGGAAGTCACATCATCGGCTACATCAACTCACTGTACCGTACCAATTACCAGTACATTATGTAGAACAAGGTTAGGCTAGAGAAGGAACAATATATTTAATATGAATAGAAGATATAAGGTAACATTCAGCAGAGACCACGCCTGCATGGTCGAGCCATGCCACTCGATCAACTCCAGTCCATTCCATTCATTGTTCGCGCCTTCTCCATTGTTAGGTATTTCTCCGCGTTAAATATTGAATATCTATTTTCTGAGTAGTCTCGTGTTCACAGCTTTGTGGATTGTGTGACTATTGTCCAATGCCACTAAACTACTCTCCCACCAGAATCAACGTGATGTTGGTTCGATACCAAATTGGATGGGATCGTCGCGCGCCGGAGGTTACCAAGGATAACAAGGATCCTCCGGGTATTGATAAGCTGAAAGATAAATCAAAAAGAAGGCGGCAGCATCTGGTCGGGAAATACATGTAATAATCTTAAAATATCTGCTTTCATGATTAACACGCTTAAAATGAAAATTTGGTTGAAGATTATTTGAACTATAAAAAATGGGATTACAATAATAATAATAAAACGATGCGTGTTAATAACTTAACTTATAGGCAGTAATTATTTTGTGTTTAGAAATATTAAAATAATGAATATTGTGGAAATGTTAATATTGGTATTAGTTTTGGTTTAAATTATGAAATCAGATAACGATTATGCCGGTAAGTTGTCCATATGAGTTGATTTCCAATTGCATCTGTATTAGTAGGCTAACTGAAGGAACAAAAGTATACCGTGGAGAAGAATTCCAACTAGTGTTCCAGTTAGTTTGATACGGTTTATTTAGTTACGGGGAGATTTTCTCAACCTCATTTTTACTTGACCGTGATAGAATTTAGTAATACTACTAATACACATGAATGGTTATCAAAATAAAATTTAAATACATGAGTGATAATTATATGGATTTTGGACAGATAGCTAGGAAATAATCGTTAAACATAAGTGTGTTCGTAAGAGACATGCTCTAGACTCAATGTTCTGATCTGCGATAGACTATTTATTTATATTTATACTTGCCGGCTGATGGTACATACAAGTTAGTTGCACGTATGCGGGCAGAATACGATTTAAATGAGATATGGTGATTATAAGTTACTGAAATCAGTTAAGCCTGTGTCACATTACTAAGTGATGTGGTGCTGTAAGATGTACTCGGCCAAATACGTTTTTACAAGATGATTAACCGTGAGTGATGCTCATGTGATTATCAGGGAGTCCATAAGTTGTAACCAAGGGGAGTACACTCCCAACTCATGTCTATGATAATGGCTTGAACCTTAGTCAGTGTTGGGGTAAATTCGACATTAATGTTTTCAGTTTACAGGTTTGCTCGACTGCTTATACTGATTATTTGCATGCATGGTTGTGTCGCTAGACCATCAATTAGACTGACAAGG